GCGGCATAAGTGCCTGTCTTGCAAGCACGCAGTCATGAGTTTGATCCCTGGTACCAATTAAAAAAAAAAAAAGAGTGTAGCCTCGCTTAGGATATAGCTCAGGGACACAGCACCTGCCTGGAAAGCATGAGGTCATAAGTTTGATTCCTGGTACCAAAAAAAAAAATACAGTCTCACAGTGTGTCTTTTTACTTAGAAATGTCTCAAGTTTATCCTTATTTATGGCAGAGTAGTACTCCATTGTATTTTTAAAACCTACTTCTTCTTTATCCATTCATAAACTGCACTACATATATTGCTATGTTATGATGCTTTTCTTTTGGGGAGATACCAAGAAGAGTAATAGCTGGGTAACATGGATCCTCTAGTTTTAGTTTTTTGAGGAATCATCACACTGATTTCCACAGCGGTTGCACCAGTCTTACACTACCACCAACAGTGGAGGTTTTCTTTTCCCCCCACAGCCCTACCAGTATGATAAGTGGTTGGTTTCTTAGTAATAGCCATTCTTTCTAGGATGAGGTAGAATCTCAACATGGTTTTAATTTGCATCTCTTGAATGACCAGTGATGTTGAATATTTTCTAATTCTTTATCTGAAAGGTGTCTATTCATTTCAGATGTCCATTTTCGTATCGGGTCTTTAAATTTGGGAGATCTAGTGTTTTTTTTTTTTTTTTAGTTCTTTATATAGTCTAAGTATTAGTCCTTTGAGGAACAGCTGCCAAATTTGTTTTCCCATGTTCACCACTCCGTTGGTGGTTTCTCTTGCTGCACAAAACCCTTTAAATAAGATGAGATCCCATTGTTGATTCTTTGGGATATTTCCTGTGCAATCAGGGTTTTGTTCCTAAAGTCTTTGCCTGCACCTATGTCTTCAAGAGTTCTACCTATTCTCTCTTTCAGCGGATTTAGTGTTTCTGTTTTAGTATTTATATCTTTGTTCCATTATGATTTTAGCTTAGTGCGTACTAAAAGATAATCTTTGGCATGTGGAAAACCAATTTTTCTAGCACCATTTATTACAAGGCTGTCTTTCTTCCAGTGAAGGCATCCTTTGTCAAAGATAAGGTGGTTGAGTATGCCTGGAGTTGTTTCCACATCTTCCAATCTGTTCCATTGATCCTCTGGTCTGTGTTGGTTCATCTGTTTGTTTTGCCAGTACCATGCTTTTTTTTTTAATCACTGTAGTTTTGTAGTATAATTTCAAGTCAAGGATTATGATGCCCCATGCTTTGCCTTGTTGCCCAGAATTTTTGCTATTACAGGTCTCTTCTGATTCCAAATAAATTTAAGAGTTGTTTTCTCTAATTCTGTGATGTATGCTATTAGTATTTTGATCAAGATTGCATTAAATTAACAGTTTTGGGATTAGAGCCATTTTCCCTATTGGTTCTTCTTACTCAAGAGCAAGGGATATCTTTCCATGTGCAGATCTCCTGGATCTCCTTTTAGAGGACTGTAGTTTTCAATGTACTTCCTTCGTTAGATTGATTCCTAAGTATTTCAAGTTTGGGGGGTGCTATTGTGAAAGGTGTAGTTTCCCTAATTTTTCTGTCAGTGATTTTGTTATTTGTGCACAGGAAGACCACTGATTTTTGAGTGTTGACTTTGCATCCAGATACTCTACTGAATTTGGTTATTAAATCTAGAAGTCTTTTGATGGAGTTTTTGGGGGACTTCTATGTAGAGTATCATATCATCAGCAAACAATGATAATTTAACTTCTTCCTTTCCTATCTTTATTGCTTTTATTTCTTTCTTTTGGCTAACTTCTCTGGCTAATGTATCCAGAACTATATTGAATAGGAGTGGTGATAGTTGACATCCTTGCCTCTTTTCTGGTTTTAGAGTGAAAGCTTTTGGTTTTTGATCATTTAGTGTGATGCTGGTTCTTGGTTTGTCATAGATGGTTTTTATCAGATTGAGATAAAAACTGTGTATTCCAATTTTCTGTAAGGTTTCTTTTTATCATGAATGGGTGTTGGACTTTGTCAAATGCTTTTTCTGTGCCTATTGAGATGCTCATATGGTTTGTGTCTTTAGCTCTGTTAATATGATGAATTATGTTTATTGATTTGCATATGTTGAGCCATCTCTGCATCCCTGGGGTGAATCCTACTTAGTCATTGTATATAATCTTTTTGATGATTTGCTGCATTGTTTGCCAGTATCTTATTGAGAACTTTTGTGTCTGTGTTCATTTTGGTATCAGGGTAATGCTTGCTTCCCTTGAACAATATGTTTTTCCTTAAGGTCTCTGTTTTATCTGATGGCAGTGCCACTATACCAGCTATCTTTTGACTAACACACAGGTTATCTTTAAAATGGAACATTTAATTCATTTTCACTGAATACATGACTATTATAGTTGTATTTCAGTTTACCATCTTCTCTTCACCGTTCATTCTGTCTTACATTTTCTTCTCTACTCTCACCATGCTTCAGGTTTTAAGCATCTCATCTTATCCCCCTACATGTGACTTCTGTTCCCTCAGTGATGCCCTGGACAGTGCTGCAGGCATCACTAACTCGTTAATGGTCATCGTTCTGTTATCCTTAACATTTCCCCGGAGGATGCAGTGGCCTGCGATGCTTTACCATGGGGCATCCTCTCTGTTTATCTGCTACTATTGTGCTGAATTGTAACTCTGTAGATTTTCAGTTCCATCAGGCATCATGGATCACTTCTTTAAATGGTCACTGTCCACTTAAATGGATGCTCAGGACTTCTTTGACATTCTTCCTGCAAGTCTGGCCTTACATTTCCCTGCAACTTGAAGGTGATCCACCAGAGCTTCTTTATGTGTGGGCCCATCACTTATCTGTTACATATCTGTTTATTATCATTAACTCGTTGGAATTACTTGCACCTTGGCTTCAGTAGTAGAGGATGCCCCGCTGGGTGCGAGGCTGACTGTGGGCTCTGCTCTCTGCAGCACTCTGGGGGTATGCTCCCCACTCTCCAGTCCCTTGATGGCAACCGCTCTGCTTTGTCCTCTGCAGTCATCTCCTTGGCCTTGGCTCTCTGCATCTCCAGATTTGCTGTATGTCACCCTTTGTCTGGCTGGTGTGTCCTTGGGACTGCTGAGTGTGTGGCCAAGATGTCACTTGTAGCTCTGGAGCTCTCAGCACCATTCTTGCTGCAACCCCCACCTCTGGTGTCCCCAGCAGTGCCCGTGATGTGGTGCCTTTTATGGTTTTCCTCTTGCATCCCCATCCTTTTGCCTTCATCCTGCATTCTGAGTGGTTCCTTCTGATCTGCCCTTTAGTTTCAGCTCACTCATTTCTCTATAATTCCATTAAGTCTGTTCTTAAGCCTATTCTTTTGCCTTAATTTCTGAGATTTGATTTACCCTATTTGTTTGAGTCTCTGAAATGTCTTAATTTATAATTACCATTCCTAATGTTTTTCACCCTGCCTGCCCCCACATTTGCCATCTTCTCTTGTTTCCAGAGTGTGAGGCAGCAGTACCGAACTTACACGTTGTGCACCCTCCCCACACCCCACAGGACAAAATGCCTCCTCTTCAAGACCGAAACTCTGTACCGTTCAGTGACCACTCCCTGCTGGCCCTTCCCTCCACCACCACCACCCCCACTGTAAACCATGACTCTCCTCCCTGCCTTTGTGACTTTGACATCTAGGGACCTTGTGTAAGCGGCGTTGTGCAGAGCTTGTCCTTCTGCCACTGGCATGCGACACTCATGATGTCTGAGGTTCCTCTATGCAATCACGATCATTATCAGGATCATCAAGCCAGCAGCATCCCACCCAGTGCAGAGACTGCCTTCTGTTCCCACCTTTGTTCTTCACTGGGCTGTGCAGTCGTGTTCAGCCTTTAGCGGCTGTGAACAGAGAAGCTGTGAGCGTGGCTGACAACACAGTTCTCTCATGCAGGGATTCTGTCTGCACCTTGCTGAGGAGCCACTGTCTTCCCACGTGTCTGCACCATTTCACACCCTGCTCCCAACATTGCACAGGGCTCCTCGTCTCTCCTCTCCCCAGCTAGCAGAGGTGACACACTGTGACTGCGCTGAGGCTGTTTCTCACAGCCTTCTCAGGATGCAAGTCTCACTGGAGCTTTGGTTTTGCGCTTCCTACTGGGGAGGATGGTGAGATCTCATCCGGGGGTTACTAACACTTTTGAATTGGCTTGCTTGTCTTTTGTTGTTAAATTTTAAGATTTCTCTATGGGCTGAGTATGAATCCCTTATCAGATGTATATCAGATGTTTCCTCCCATTTCTGTGGGCTGACTTTTTAATTTGTTGTTAGAGTCTTGTGATATTTTCTTTTGTTGCCAGTGACTGTGGTGTGATGTCCAAGAAGCCCCTGCCGAGCATTTGGGGCTCTGGTCTCCTGCAAGTCCGCTTTATCCATCGCGTAATGAGGGTTCCCCTTCACTCTTCCTGTGGGTGTCCATGCCATCTGGGAAAAGATGGTCCTCACCAAACAGAAAGCAGTCTGTGGGACCCGAGGCACCCCTGTGTCCTGTTCTCTGTTGGTGGCCTTAGGAACTGAATGACACAGCATAGTGTCACCCAAGGGAGGCCTGGCACCTTTGCCAAAGGCCCGGTTCCCATCCCCCCTCCCCGGCAGCAGATCCTCATAACCTGTAGTCTGGGCCTCTGGCCCAGTACCCCAGTGAGTTCAGGGTAGCTGTCTCAGTCACCTGAGATCCTAAAACAAAGTGCTTCATACTGGGCAGCTTATGAACAACAGGGGTTTGTTTCTCACAGTTCTGGAGACGGGAAGCCAAGAGCAAGGGCCTGTCAGATTCCATGACCAGGAAGGCCTGCTTCTCGGTTCCACCCTCAAGAGCTAATCACTGTCTAACACCACCTGGGGGCTGACACAGTGGTTCAGCCTGTGGCAGCTGGCATCACATGCAGGAAAAGCAGGCCTGGCTGTGCTCCGGGAAACTCATCCCTAGGTGGCAGAGCTGGGCCTGGCAGAGCCGCCTGTTGCCCAGCCCCACCCTTGGCTTCCCACCCGCAGGTGAATAATAACGGAATCGTCTCCTTCCTGAAGGAGGTCTCTCAGTTCACACCCGTCGCCTTCCCCATCGCCCAGGACCGCTGCGTGGTGGCGGCCTTCTGGGCAGATGTGGACAACCGCCGCGCAGGTGACGTGTACTACCGAGAAGCTACCGATGCGGCCACGCTGCACAGAGCCACCGCAGACATCAGGCAATACTTCCCCGAGCTTGCGAACTTCTCGGCCACTTGGGTTTTCATCGCCACGTGGTACCGAGTGACCTTCTTTGGAGGCAGCTCCTCCTCCCCTGTGAGTGTGGTGTGCATCTTGGCTAGGACCCTCAGCTTCCGTCCCCAGGGGCAGACAGCCTTGGCCCCACCTCCGTCACTTGGCTGAGGCCATGGAGCTGGCAAGCGGGTGGGGCCTCATACTCCCCAGGCCTTGGCAGAACCCCATGTACCCCCTGGGGAGAAGGACATCAGAGGCCCAGGGTGGCGTGGTGCTGCAAGGCTTCCACTGCTTCCAATGCCTTCTCTCAGCTAATGCCAGGCAGCAGGTGCACTGGCTCAGAAGCCAGAGGCTGCCTAACTTAGGGGCACAGGGCTGACTCGATGCCAGGCCTGTACCTGATGCTGGGTTGCACCCACCAAAGCTGGAACCAGCTCCCAAGGTGCAGGACAGGATTCAGGCACCCATTTGGGGGCTCTGCTCACTCAGTGGACACCTCCTAAGGCCCCTCTGTGCCAGGAAGTGTTCTGAGCACTGGGGACAACGCCGGTCAGAGCAAATAGGCAGAGGCCAGCCTCAGGACACTCACTGGTAAGGGGGTAGACACAGCCATGTAATGGGTGGCACATCTGTGCCCAGGCCTGGACTCGCCAGGCAGTGCATACAGGAGCAAGTACACAGACAGAAATAGATGGGTGCTCTTCATGAACTGACCCAGACCCCTTACAACTGGGACTCCGCAGCTCCTCAGCCCTGGGCCCAACCTCAGTCCTTACTACCAATCACACCAAGCTCTGCATGGTGGGCAGAGCTTCAGCGCTCAGCTTTGGCTTCCTGCAGCAGAGCACCTTGCTTGCCTGCCTACTGTGAGGCCCCTGCTCTCCAGTACCTGCTCAGGAGCCTAGTGCCAGATGGCGTCCGGGGCTGTCTCATCCAGGCCCCTGTGTAGACAAGCTGCACAGTGCAGAGGGGGCACTGCATGACCAGAGTGCCTTTATACATGGTGGTGTTCTGACAGGGTCCCCAGAGGTGGCCTGCGCTATGTGGCCATGTACTCAGGGAGCAGAAGCCCTGTCCAGAAGGTTCCCGCTCTGACCTCCTTCTGGTACCCAGCTCAGCTGTCCTCTTCATTCCTTACCAACCATACAGACAGTAAAATGGAAAGTTAGCCTGCCCGCCTACTTGTACATATTGGCTTCTATTTTCTTCTAGGACCTCTAGAATTCCACAGAAATCATAACTTTTTATTTAGGTTTTTTGAGACAGACTCTGTGTAGCCCAGACTGGCCTTAGCCTCACAGCGATCCTCCTGCCTCAGCCTCCCAAGTGCTAGGATTACAGGAATATTCCACCATGCCTGGCTAAGCCTATTAAAACTTACTTTTCCTTGGTTCCTTTTCATCTTTTTCTTTTTTCTTTTAGTGTTTTTGCTCACTGCACACAAGAGATTTACCAGATTTGGTAGTGTGTTAACCCTCTGTGTGCCTCTGTCCCTGGTGGGAACCTGAGTCCCTTGGGGGTAGGGACTGTGCCCCCATCTTGTCCTTACCTCTTACCCAGTGTGCTTCACTCAGCTGTCCCAGGCCCAGCCTGGGAGGGGAGTAGGGTGGGATCCAGTAGGCCATCAAGGTCCTACCTGGCTGACTGTCTGGGGGGAGACAGATGCGGGTGCCAGGCATGCAGGGTAGCCTCACCAGCCCTTTCTCCCTGGCAGGTCAACACCTTCCAGATCATTCTTATCACTGATGGCAAGGTCTCCTTCACCATCTTCAACTATGAGTCCATCACCTGGACCACGGGCACGCATGCCAGCAGCGGGGGTGATGCCACTGGCCTGGGGGGCATCGCAGCCCAGGTAGGCTGCTGGAGTTCTGCCAGCCCATCATGAGCTGGGGGGACAACACAGGCAGGGCCCAGCCCTATGTGGAGGACAGGATGAGATGCTCTCAGGTTTTCCATGCCCTGGAGCAGGCCTAACAGCAGCTCTCTGCTGACCTGATCCCCTGCCCAGGCCCCAGGCTGATGACAGCTGCAGACTGCTGGAAGCTCTCGCTTCCTCTTGCCCTGCCACTTTCCCCGGGCTGCTCCTACCTCTGGGCCTGAGGGAGGCCCAGACCTGGTTAGGTCCTGGCTGGGGTACCCCAAATATGTAGGGCCCCACTGACAAGGCCATCTCCTGTATCATCCTTGACCCATCTGGGGACCCAAGATTCTCAGGACAGTGAGGAGACCCCCACACTTCCTTCCCCATCCCAGGCAGGCTTCAATGCGGGTGATGGGCGACGCTACTTCAACATCCCAGGCTCACGCACAGCAGACATGGCCGAGGTGGAGGCCACCACCAATGTGGGCGTGCCCGGGCGCTGGGCGTTCAGAATCGATGATGCCCAGGTGCGCGTGGGGGGCTGCGGCCATACAAGTAAGAGGATGGGTATGAGGCTCCGCGTGGAGGGCGAGATAGGGCGGGAGGAGGGTGGAAGCCAGGCCGAACCTGGGGAGTCATGCTGGCCCCTGATCTGTCCCCTCAGAGAGACCCACAAACCTCTTCTGGGGCTCAGGGGACACCGTGGGCCAGGAAACTTTTCTGTGTGGAGCTCTGGGTGCTCCAGGGAGGGTGGAGCAGCTCCCCCTCTGCTCATCTCCAGGTTGACCTCTGGGTCTCCCAGCAGTGAGCAGGTGGTGAAATGGGACCCCAGTGCTGAGCCAGGCCATCTTGGGGTGTCCAGGGGCCACCTGGCCTCTTGAGAGGGCTGCCAATTGCCAGCCTGACCTAGTCTGGGCCACAGGCAAACAGCACTGGGGGCTGTGGAGGAGGGAGACTTGCTGCAGTGCTGAAGCCTGTGCCTGCCACCACAGAGGGAGGGCTGGGGAGTCCCAAGCTGCCCATGCACTGGGCATGAGTCACCCTAAGCCTGAGTCTGAGTTTAGGGATCAGGGCTCAAAGGGCAGGGAGTGCCGTGCTGGGCACCTGAGAACGCAGAGCCATAGTCCCCTGCAGCCAGGCATCTGCTTGGCCTCCTGTGGTGAGTGATGGCAGCCAGGGCTACTCTGCAAGGGTTGGGGGATCAGAGCCCCCCCCCACAGTGGCTGGAGTCTTGGGGTACATGATTGAGGGGCAGAGTGTGGCATGAGCAGACTATGTTCCCCAAATGAGCTGCAAGCTATGAACCTAGGGACCCCATCTCAAAGAGGAGGGCTTGATCCCAATGCCTAGGTCTCAAGGGTGAACAGAGGAGGCCCAGTTGAACACCCACCCACGTGGGGAGGGACTTCTGAAGTTACACAACCAGGGCCTCACCTGGAAGGAGAGTAAGGCGCCTGCCTGCAGTTGGGGCCCTGAGAACACTGGGCTCGTGCAGAGGCCCAGCCACCGGCCAGGGAGCAAGTGCAACACAGCTGAGGGAACAGGAAGGTGGCAGGGTGGAAGCTGTCCAGGGGACACTGCAACCTGACCTCAGGAGTATCCCGGGGCACTCCTAGGACCAGCCTTCCAAGTGCTTGGGACACAGCCCAGTGGCGCTTCCGAGCTGCCCCTTGGACAGCCTTGGGATGCCTGTCCTGCAGGATGCAGGGACCCCAGGAGGCCTCCCTGATGGCAGCCCTGCCATGAGAAATCCCAGCTTCAATAGCTGAGTGTCGGCCTCCCATTTCCCATACCAAAGGGGGTAGAGTGGCCGAGCAGGCTAAGCTTCTAGAAGTGTCCATGGCTGAGCTGGGAAGACTGGGCAGGAAAAGCAGGAGCTGGGATGTGATTCTGAGGTGTCTGCTCCACGAGTCTGAGCTTGGGACCCACCCTAGGTGGGCAGCATCCTCCAGCCACCCTAAGCTCTTCCCCCAAGCAGATCTAGTTGTGACACCATGACCATGGCCACCCCCAAGGGGAGCCACAAGTTGGTCCCTTGGGCCAGGGAGGGGAAAGAGATGCAGCTGCAGCAGTGGCTGTGCTGCCCCTGTCCTGGAGGTGGCACATGAGGCTCGGGCTCCTTCCTGTGCCCACAGCCTCCGTGTGCCTGGCCCTGCGCCCGTGCCTCAACGGCGGCAAGTGCATTGACGACTGTGTCACTGGCAACCCCTCCTACACCTGCTCCTGCCTTGCGGGCTTCACAGGGCGGAGGTGCCAACTGGGTGAGTTGCTGGCCTCGGCAGGGATAGGGAACCCACAGAGGGAAACCCTGGCCATACCAGGCTCAGGAGGAACTACGGGTGTAGATGGTGGCCTCGTGGCCCTGGTTGAAGAATGCCAGGCCCCATGATGTGCATCTACCCCTGAGGCAGCAAGCAGAAGGACAAATCCCGGTACCCTGGGCACCCAACTGTCCCCATGTCCTCCACTGAGGCCCTGGGCTGCCCATGTTTCAGACGTGAATGAATGCGCCTCTCATCCGTGTCAGAATGGTGGTACCTGCACTCACAGTGTCAACAGCTTCAGCTGCCAGTGCCCAGCCGGCTTCCGGGGCCCCACCTGTGAGTCAGGTAAGAGGACTCTGACAACCCCATGGCACTGCAACTGTAGACACAGATGGGGAAGCCCAGAGAGCTCCGTGGGTCAGGCAAGAGGCGCCTGGGATGGTTCGATGGGAAGGTGGCAGCTGGCTCCTGAGATCAGAGGGGCAGCTGCAAGTGGACAGGCACCACCGTGTCTGGACACACTTCTGCCACTTTCTGCCCAACTGCTCCAGGGACAGGGCATCTGGTCCCATGCCTCACCCCCTCCCCAACCCCAGCCCTGCTGCACTTCTGAACTACTGCTCGTCCTGAACCTTCAGAACCCAGCTTCTCGAAGCAGCTGTTGTGAGACTGTGTCCATTTACTCACCCTTCGGGCCCCCACCCTCACCTTACCCACCTGGTGAAGAAAGGTGGCTCCACCCCGTCCCATGGCCTTGCCAAATGGCACTGATCAGGGACTGGACCAAGGGAGCCTCTCAGTGTCCCTGTGACTGCCTCTCCCCCAATTCAGCCAGACATGCATCTGCAAGCACTCTGACCAGCACGGAGCAATCATTGCACTGCAGATGTGTACAGGGATAGACTGTCGATTAAGGGCATTCAAACAGCCGTGTCAGTGTCCCAGTCTAGAAAACCTGCTGGAGGCTCAGGACCACAGGAATCCAAGTCTTTAATATATTTTTATTGGAAAGAACTACAGCTGGATGACAGTAAAGGTCTGTGTAACACGCAGAGAAGCAATAAGATGAGTGTCTGCAGACACAGTAGAATGGGAATGTGGTTTCAGGGTGGACGGGGAACAGAATGTGCATCGAGCAGGATGGGCTTATTTGTGGTGTTTGAAAGTCACAGTGTTAGTTGCCTTGGTAACCCTCAGTCAGCCAGTGCAAGAAGGGACAGAGGGCGAATCCTATTCCTAAGAGAGTTCTCTAGGCAGAGGCCTGGCCCTGCTGGCCATCGGACCCCCTCCTTGAGCCTGTGAAGATGAAGCTCCCACAGTGTGACAGAGATGCCAAGGGCCCTCGGGTCCTTGCCCTGCCTCTCAGTGGTGCTTCGTGCTGTGCCTGCCAGGGTGGACACAGCTTGTGGGAGGGACCCCGAAGATGGCCATGGAGTGGGCAGGACCTGCATGTTGCTAGGGTTGCTCTGCCTTACAGAAGCTCCCCTGCCTGGAGCAAGGGCCTAGATCAATTCCCCAACTCAGGTCCACCCGACAGGCAAGCTCTGGGCTTCAGCCTCCCCAAACCTTTCCCTCCACTACCAGGTGGAATTAGACCCAATTCAGATGGAGCTTTGGATGGCCACTGCCTTGCCAGGCCCTTCCCAGTCTGCCAATCTAAAGACAGCCAGTCTCACCTGTGTAGGGAGCCAGCTATGCCCGGCGGCGGCGGGGAAGGGGAGGTTGCGTCGGGTGTACCCAAGGCTTCTGCCATTGAACAGTATGGCCAAGTGTCCAGCGCTCTGTCCACCACTCCTCACTTGCAGCCCAGTCCCTGTGTGATAACACAGAGTGTCAGAACGGCGGCCAGTGCCAGGATGAACGTGGCTCTGCAGTGTGTGTGTGCCAAGCCGGATACACAGGGGCCTCCTGCGAGACAAGTGAGTGGCTGCCTAGCAACCGGCGTGGGGTTGTGGGAGATTGGGGTCCGAGCCCCACTCACACCCAGCCCTGCCTCTGCTGCCCACAGACGTGGACGAGTGCAGCTCTGACCCATGCCTCAACGGAGGGGCCTGTGTGGACCTGGTGGGGAATTACAGCTGTGTGTGTGTGGAGCCCTTCACTGGACCCCGCTGTGAGACAGGTAGCACCACACAGCTCTGTCACATGTCACCATGTCAGCATGCGGCCCCCCTATAGCCTCACTCCCTTCCTCTCCAGTGCTCTGCTGGGACTCTGCCTGGCCTGCATCCCAGCCCCTCCCAGCTTCCCACCCTGCCATGTGTGGCGCCAGACCAGGCTCTCCCTGTCTGGACCTGAGTTTCCATCTGTGACCTGCAGGGAGAGGGGACAGAATGCCCTAGGCCCTCTTCAGCCCTGTGGCTGTAGACTTTTAGGGCCTCCCTACCCCTGTGCATGGGAAAGAGTGTGGGGGTCAGAAAGAAAGCTGCCTTTCACTGTGTGTGCAAAGCCCATCTCTGTCCTGCCCTGCTTTGCCATGTTTTAGATGCTGGTTAGGACTTCTTGATCAGTGAAAAGCCAGCTAGAGATTAGAAAGCACAGTGTGCCAAGCCCAGTAAAACCCCTGTAGTGTTTGGCTGCCATCAAGCCCAAGGGCCAGACCGTATCTGCAGCTCTGCAGCCACCTGAGCGGAGCTGCCTCAAGGCTGGAGGCCAACCCCTGAAATTCACTGCTAGCCTTAAACCAAACCCAGGAGGATGTTTCCAAGCCACAGGCCTGGCACCTGTGTGCCCTGCCCTTCCAGGTCAATCAGTGAGAGGGAGCTGTGCAGAGGGTGAGGCCCATCCTGCTGGGTTGTCACAGTGCCCTTCTCCCAGGAGTTGTTTCAAGGCCAATGTATTTCACCAAATACTGGTCAAAAACAGATAAGTGAGGGCTGGGGATTTAGCTCAGTGGCATAAGCACCTGCCTGGCAAGCTCGAGGTCTTGAGTTTGATCCCCAGTACCAAAAAAAAAAAAAAAAAAAAAAAAACAGATGAGTGCTTTCAAAAGATTTTTGCATAGAACTATGCAAGTGGAAGTGAATAACAACACCAGAACAAGCCAGGTACAGGGCTACTCCGAAGGCTGAGGCAGGAGAAGTTCCAGAGCAGCCAGGGCAGCATACGAAAACTCTCCAGAAACAAAAACAAAACCTCAAGCTGGTCATGGCACACACCTATTATCCCATCACCTCAGGAGACTGAGGCAGTAGGATTACAAGTTCAAGTCAAGCCAGAGCAACTGAGCAAAACTGTCTAAATGTAGTAAGTATAAGTCATATTCTCTGGGTTCAGTCCCCAGTTCCACAAAAACAAACAAAAGAAAGAGAGAAAGAGCGAGCAGTAGAGGAAAAAACCACATCACAAGCCTCTAAAACAGCTAGAATGCTCACTAGAAGCATGCACACCAGGAGATGCTGAAGCGACATCTTTTAAAGCACTGAGAAAACAAAAAGACCCAGTGTGCACCAGCACCCAGCAAAGCTGCTGTCTGAAGTTAGAGAAAAAGAGTTTTTCTCCCCAAAATCAAGAGCATTTGTCTACATTATTGTGTTGTAAAAAATGATAAAATTCTTTAGACAGAAGAAAAATGTTACAAAATGGATCCAGTCAATGAACCAAGTGTTCGAAATCACAAATATGGGTAAGAAACTTTTTCTTTAAAAAACTCTTTAAAGATAAATTTAAAATAATCTTAAAAATAAAGTGATAGCATATTTAGAAATAAAATACATATTTTTCTGTAAGGGGCCAGAGAAATACTTTGGGCCTTGCAAACCACACAGCTGCCCAGCTCTGCCACTGCAGCATGAAGCAGCCAGCTGCAGATGGTACACAGATGGAGGGTGTGGCAGAGTCTCAATAAAACTTTATTGTTTGTGATGGATGGCAGGCAAGATCCAGTCCATGGGCCATAGTTTATGAACCTCTGGCATGAAAGATAGAAAGATATAAAAGTATAACATTGTGAAGTCCTCATATAAAGCGGTATAAAAATTTATATCCAATAAGCCAACTGTCAAAGTAAAATGGAATCCTAAAACTATTTAATCCAGAGGCAATAAAACAAGACAAAAGCAACAAAGTAAGACAAATCGAAAGGAACAGCAAGACAATAGGTTCAGCTGTATTGTAGCTACATTAAAATGTAAACAGGTTAAGCACACCAGTCGAAAGGCAGAGGCTAAAGAGATCCACTCTACATGCAAAGATGCAGCTCACTCAAAAGCAACAGAGGTTGTGGTGAGACAGGAAGCACTGGATACAGCTGCAAGGCCTGGACAGAAGATGCAGGCTCAGGAAAGTAAATAGAAGCAGATGGAGAGAGGAAGATGCACCTTGAAGAACCACCAGGCTAGTGGTCGATTTATCTTCTTTTTTTTTTTTTTTTTTTTTTGGCTCTGGTATCCCTCGGCCTGGACTCAGAGCCACCAGAAACCAGAACTGACCCACAGCACAGACGAGCCCAGGAGAAGGTCCGAGCCAGGCTGGAGCAGCGGACAGGGAGGAGTGGGCACGGACCTTCCTCTGCAGGGGGAGGTGCTATGGTTTTGGGGGGGCAGGGCAAACTCCTGTGTTTTTCTGTACCACTTCCTGCTTGCACAGCCATGAATACAAGGAGCAAGTAGCTAGGTAAGGCGATTGAAGCCCAAGAAAATCAGAAAGGGGAGCCTCAGAGAGCTTCTGGAGATGTAGAGGGGGTGGTCTTGGGAGAACAGCTCTGGAAAGTTAGTTGTGAGCTCTCAAACTGACCCAGCTGGGCATGTGAATCTGACCCAGGATTTTAAAGACACTATCATTTGTAACAGCTCCCAAAGGTGAATGATCTAGACATGAATTTAATAAAATGTGCAGAATTTACATGCTGAAAACTAGAAAATACTAATGAAGAAATCAGACATCTATGTAAATGGACAGACCTACCATATTTGTGGAAAAGACGACTCAACATATTAAATATGTCAGTGCTTCCTAAGCTGATTAATGAATTTAAAGTGGTTCCAATCAAAATATCAGCAGGACTTTCTGTGAAGATATGGACAAATTGATTCTAAAATTTATAAAGGAAAAGGACTTTGAAAAGCCAAAACAATTTTGAAAAAGAATCAATGTTAAGAAATTGCTCTGCTGAGTATTAAGATTTGCTATAATGCTCCAACAATGGAGACCATGTGTTATTGCCAAAGGGTCTACTTCATAGATCAATGGGGCAGGAGAGAATCTGAAATTAGACTACATATTGCTTTGTATTGACTGGATCTCAGGGACATTGCACTATTTGAAAGAAGTCGATCTCCAAAGATTATATTCCACATGTTGTTACTTGACCTTCCATTGCTGAGACAGAATATCTGAGGTCAGCTTAAAAGAAGCTACAAGCTTGAGATCAGCTATAAGGAAGAAGGGTTTATTTTGGTTCACAATTTCAGAGGTCTCAGTCCATGGTCATTTGGCCCTGCGGTCTTTGGGCCCAAATGTGGTGGAAGAAAGCTCCTCACCTTCTGGAAGCCAGGAAGCAAAGAGAAAGAGCAAGGAAGGGGCCACATCCTGTGTATCCTTAGCATGCAGTCCCAATGACTAACTCCTCCCACTGGGCCCCTCTCCTAAGTTTCCAGCACCTCCAACACCATCAGTTAAGGACCAGGCTTTCAGACAGGAGCCTTTAGGAGACACATGAGATCATCACATGAGGACTCTAGTGCAAGAAACACTGGCAGGAGGGAAGAGGGACCTTTCATATGTCAAGAGGTCATTGCTTCAGGACGCTGATGTATGCTCACGCCTCCTGATGCCTACTCACATCGTTACAGTTCATGAGGAAAATGTTGGCAGGCCGCAAGGAGGAACAGGTACACCTATACTTAAGGTGGAGACTGCAGTAATTCATAGAACACAAACAGAAAACAAATAAGGCTTACACATAAACTCATCCTAACAGACATTTAAAGAGTGTTAAACATTCAAGTGTTCATCACAATGATGGACTGTACTGTACACCATGAAACAAGGCAGCACTGGGAAATGAGGCAGGAGAATCTCAAGTTGGAGCTCAGTCTGGACAACTTAGATCCTGTCTCAAACCATTACGGGCTAGAGCTCATGTGAAGGCCTTGGGTTCAATCCCAAGTAGCACATCAATCAGTAGGCTCAGTAACTGAGACTGTGTTTTGACCACAGCGAAGTAAAGTAGCCATCAGTAGAAAGGTATCTGGAACCCCTTGAGTGCCTTGCCAGCAGGGATATCTGAGGCCCCATTTCGGTGGGTTTAGGATTGTTGGCTCCTTCCTAGAAGCTGAGCTTCAGGGGTGGAGTGGCTACAAGTCTGTTTCCGGGAGAACCTCTGGCCTGACCCCCGCTCAGCAATGAAAACTCAGGTGGACACACACCAGGTGTGGGAACTGGGCAGCTCCTTCTCCCGCTCAGGTTTGAGTTCTCCCTCCTGCCACCCCCATGTCCCTTGGTGACCATTGCCTTCCTTGCAGGAAGCCACCCAGTGCCTGATGCTTGCTTCTCAGCGCCTTGCCAGAATGGAGGCACCTGTGTGGATGCGGGTCCGGGCCACGTGTGCGAGTGCCCTGAAGGCTTCATGGGCCTGGACTGCAGAGAGAGTGCGTCGGGACTGCCAGGCAGCGTCCCAGGGTGGGGCAGGAGACCCAGGGCCCGTGTGTGGCTGCAGAACCAGGGAGGGTCCTCCCGTGGGTTGTACATGCAGGAAACCCACCAGAGAAAGCCTTCAGTGCTATGTGTGCGCTGTTGCTTTTATGGCAGGGGTAGTGGCTGGGATCAAGCAGGGTTGAAAAAGGCCCCTCTTCCTTTACCCCCACATGGAGAACATCTTTTCCACGGCAGGAACCCACAATGACTGTGAGTGCCGTAACGGAGGCAGATGCCTGGGCTCCAACACTACTCTCTGCCAGTGCCCCCCAGGCTTCTTTGGGCTCCTCTGTGAATTTGGTAGGTGCCCGAGGCTGGGGGAGAGTGCCCTGCTTTGCTGTCCTCGAGCATCCCCATAATCAGAGTATGAATAGTTCAAACTCCTACGGGGTGGGTGGCCCCAGGAGCACCCCATGAGTCACCCTGGTGGGAGCACTGGGCCTCATCCAGAATACAAGATCACCAGGAAGAGGAGCAAAAAACAAGGGAGGGCTTCCTCCTCTCCTGCAGAGGTGACAGCCACACCTTGCAACATGAACACCCAGTGCCCGGATGGGGGCTACTGCATGGAATACGGTGGAAGCTACCTGTGTGTCTGCCACACGGATCACAACATCAGCCACTGTGAGTGGCCGGGGACCCCCGTGGAGACCAGGAAGCAGGCATCCTGGTGACTCCAGAGAACCTACAGGTGGGAGGGATATCAGGGTCTGAGGTGGGACGGCACTTTGACCAGGCCACCAGCACCATGCACCCTCTTCCCTCAGCCCAAGCTGTTAAATAGTGCACACATAATCACGTGTAATTACTTCTGCTACTGCGTATTTATTAGTGTAAAGATGATCACACATGTGATGTGTAATTATATAGAACAATGCTGACAGCTGTAAGACATTTATGTGTCACAGATCAGGAAATTCTGCTAAAACAGGAGAAAGATACTCCAAGGAGGGACCTCAGCGCCCTCGTCAGCAATCAGGAAGCCCTGGGAGAGTATTTTAAGGGGTGCATTCCAGACAGACTGGGTGACCCCCAGGCATGTGCTCCAGAACTACCCTCTGCCCCCACAGCCCTGCCATCTCCCTGCGACTCGGACCCTTGCTTCAACGGAGGCTCCTGTGACGCCCACGATGACTCCTACACGTGCGAGTGCCCGCGTGGGTTCCACGGCAGGCACTGCGAGAAAGGTGCGTGGGAAAGGAGTGCTGGCGGAGCTGGGTGCCCAGAATCTAGAACTGCAAGGGGTACAGATATGGGGCAGGGAGCTCCTGTGGGGTGGGGCCGAGGAGGGGTGCCATGTTGGGGTGCACAGGTGGCCTGGGGCTCCTGTGGGAGTGGTGTGTGTGCAGGGGACCGGGAGGGGGGCTCCTGTGGGTTTGGGCGGGTGGCAGTGGGGGGAGGCTCTTGAGCCGAGGGGTGGGGCCCGGCGTCAGCACCCTGGACAGCGCCAGCTCGCATTTCTTCATTCCACTGCTCACCATGCTGTAGTGCACCATGCAGTAAGTACTGGGGAAGCGCCCCACTGACATGCCAGCTGTTGTCATCCCTTATTCTGATCTCCATTTCTTACAACAGCATTCATTTGGGGGGTCAGCATTTTCCCAGATTTTAGAATCATGGTATGGAATTTTTAAAACGGAAGAAAAAAATTTAACCCCATAGGATTTGGTTAAATCTGATTCAAGGTGGAGAATGCACATTTTACAACAGTTGGCCACTCAGGCTAGATTCTTCTGCGAATGCATGGTGACATACTGTCCTGGCCCAGGCCAGTTTCCAGACTGCACAAGATGCGCTCAGCAGACTGAGGCCTGTGCTCCTTCTCAGGCCCTCAGCCCTGGCTTGCCTGGGAAGTCAGAACTTCTGGGGCTTCAAATACGAACCTGCCCACAGCACCTGTCCTCCTCCCAGACAAGGGCTGACAGTGGCTTCTGAAACCCTGTGGCTCCCCCTGCCCCAGGATAGGAGTCCCAAAGGTTCTTGAAGCACAGAGCCACAGTGTAGCCACCAGTGTGGCCACCTCTGAGCCCAAAGGGGGACACAGAGGGGTACCAGGAGGCTGCTCTCAGGGTGGGGCCATTGGAGCTTGGACACATGAGGAAGTGGAAGTCAAGGGGGTAAGCATGGTGGGGCAGGCCCTTCTGCTGTACATGTGCATGCCCAGTTGAGGAGGGCTTGCCCAGAACTGAGTGGGGGTCTACAGACTGGAAGCCCCACCATAGGCATCTTCTGTGGAGGCCCCTGCTGCACTGGGCCGTGGGCTCAGTAAAAACAGGCCTGTCCTGCCAGGCCCACCTAGTGCAGGGGTCTGAGCTGACACATGCAGGCAAATGTAGCCTCAGCCCCCAGAAGGCTGGCCAGCACTCACTCGCACCTTTCTATTCTTCCACGCAGCCCGGCCACACCTATGCAGCTCGGGGCCCTGCCGGAATGGGGGCACGTGCAAGGAGGCAGGTGGCGAGTACCACTGCAGCTGCCCCTACCGCTTCACCGGGAAGCACTGTGAGATTGGTGCGGCCCCAGGGTAGAGTGGGGAGGACTGGCAAGGCCTGAGCGTGGGCTGAGCCAGCTGGGCAGTGCAGGGGAGGGTGAGCCCTAACCTTCAGCCTGGCCACCATGCCCCTGCTGCTCAGGAACATGCTCATGCAGGCCCCAGCTTGAGGCAATGGGGAATCGAGGAGGGTCAGCAGACTGCAGCACTTGAACCTGCCGGGTCTCTTTTGCTTCTAGGGAAGCCAGACTCATGTGCCTCAGGCCCCTGTCACAACGGGGGCACTTGCTTCCATTACATCGGCAAATACAAGTGTGACTGTCCCCCAGGCTTCTCTGGGCGGCACTGTGAGATAGGTAGGCTCCGGGCACTGGGGACATGTGAGACCAGAGCGCTTGTGCAGAGCTAGCCCAGGCCTGTAGGGGGAGGGGGCAGGACACCCCACAGTGACAGGGACCCTCTTGCATTCCTGCAGTTCCATCCCCTTGCTTCCGGAGTCCGTGTTTGAATGGGGGCACCTGTGAGGACCTGGGCACAGATTTCTCCTGTCATTGCCAAGTAGGGTACACAGGACGCTGGTGCCAGGCAGGTGAGAGACCTGAAGGGTGGGCTGGAGGCACCAATTTTCCTTCTGATTCCCTAAGGGCAGGGCAGGGCAGGGAAGGGGGTGAATAAAGGAAGACTCAGAAGTGCCCACTTCCCTGAAGTCCTTACCCCACATGGGCAGTAGCAGGATCTGGGCTCTCTCTGCCCCTGCAACCAGGTCAGGTAGAGGAATGGGCAGAGCTTGGCCAGGGCCCACAGCTCAGAGAAGCTTCTGTCCACTTCCAGAGGTGGACTGTGGCCAGCCTGAGGAGGTGGAACATGCATCCATGCGCTTCAATGGGACTCATGTGGGCTCTGTGGCCCTGTACATGTGTGATCATGGCTACAGCCTAAATGCCCCCCACCACTTCCGTGTCTGCCAACCACAGGGTGTCTGGAGCCAGCCTCCTCAGTGTCTCGGTGATTCTTTGGGCCCTCAGGGGTGGGATGGGTGGGGCCAGCATGCACCTGTGTCACCCAGCCACACTGAGAAGCAGAGGGCTGCAGAGCCTGTGGTGACATGGTGACCAGGCCAGCTTGGTTGTGGACCATTCTCATTAGGACCTCCCTGGCCTGTGGAGCTGGAATCTGCACTTTGTCAGGATGCCCACAGCAACACTGGAGGAGCCCCACTCTGGAGAGACTCCCAGGACCCACCAGAGCTGGGGTGCATGTCTGGCCCAGCACCCTGGAGATGAGGCCCTGAACTCAAGAGCAGGCACATTACAGTGAGCCAAAGCAGTGCCACACTTTGCATAGGTGATTTATAAAATTTAAAAACTAATTTTAAAAAGGCAAAGGTGTGGCACTTACAGAAGCTGGTGTTGTGGATGGGCAGAGCCACGAGCAGCTGAGCACCTAATATTCAGGCTCCAAGGTTGGGGGAGCCTGACCCTGAGGCTCACAGGTCACTACCGCTGATTAACCTTCCGGGCAGTGAGGTCAGACATCTGAACTCAGGAGCACGAGTCTTCTTTAAAAGAAATTCATGGTGAGTCTTTAAAAACTACCAGTTAGACCCCAAATGTTTTCCCACAGCTATCAGGGACAGAAACGCAAGATCAGACTGAGAGGATTCCTGCCGAACCCTCAGGCCCTCCCACCTGACAGTGTGATATGAAATTGCAGTCTTCTGAGAAGTAGGACGTGCTCATGAGTGCCCAGGGCCCTTCACAGACACAGGCTGATACCTGGGACCACATCCCCACTCCCCTCCAAGAGTGTCCAGCCCTAGACGTGGCTTTCCAGAGGACCACAGGGATGGCATGGACTTAGACTCCTCAGACCCTAGTAACCACCATGCAGCTTTATCCTTGGGTGTCTCCTCTCTTCCAGAAGTGGACAAGTGCCAGTCTCAGCCCTGCCTGAATGGGGGCTCCTGCCAGAGTCACACCACTGGGTATCAGTGTCTCTGCAGTGCAGGGTACGAGGGAGCCCACTGCGAGCTGGGTAAGCGGAAGAGAGCTGGCCCATGGGGTGGCAGCTGAAGACATGGGCCCCTGGCCGTGGCCACCTTGCTAGCCACTCTTCACCCCCAAACAGCACTGTCTATTCCCTCAGGCCGCTGCCAGCTTTGCTGTCTGGGACAGAAATTTACAAATATCTCTACCTCCTCCTGCCATGGAGATTTAGCCCAGCTGACAAACGCTGGCCAGGGAGGTGGGCAGGTCTCAGGCCCTGACAGCTGGAGTGCTGTCTGCCAGTGGAGCTGGGAGGCCTGCAGGTGTATGGCGGCTGGACAGGCCCCTGTGCCCTGAGTCAGAAGCTGTCCCGGGAGGAAGGCCTGGAACTGTGTCCAGGAGAGCCTGGGCATAGGGCTGAGCTGGCAGACAGTGCAGGGGGTGCTACCACAGCGACTCAGGTGGGGCTGGTAGAGGGGAAGACTGAGGTCCAGCATACCAGCCCCAGGACTCTGGGATGTGCAGGGGGCTCAGAGTCTAGTCAGTGAGGTGCCTTGTTGTACAGAGACAGATGGGTGCCGGGCACAGCCTTGCAAAAACAGGGGCTCCTGCATGGACCTCCCAGGGGCTTTCATCTGCCAGTGCCCCATGGGCTTCGTTGGAGTCCACTGTGAGACAGGTAGGGCGCCACTCAGTGTGTCCCAATGCACAGAGCCCAATCATGGGCAGACAGGCCACCCAGAAAGAGGGACACCCAGGATCAAGGCTGCCTCAGGAGGAGGGAAGCTGCCCACCCGCTCCAGCTTCTGTTCCTCGCTGTGCCATCCCTTCTTTTGTCCTGCCTCCCTCTCCTAGCATCCCCTCCCAGCTCAGGCCACCTCTGGCTATTTTCCAGAGCTAGATGCCTGTGATTCCAGCCCCTGCCTGCATGGAGGCCGCTGTGAGAATGGTGGCGGGGCCTACTTGTGTGTCTGCCCAGAGGGCTTCTTCGGCTATCACTGCGAGACAGGTAGAGGCAGTGGGCCTTCCCCAAAGGCTGCTCATTGAGGACTGTGGCCCTTCCTCTGGTCCCCTCAGTACCTCCAAGCACCTGCTGCACTCCCTCTCCAGGGACCCCAGGCTACAGCCTCACATCCCTGAGGCAGCCCAGACTCCTTGCAGCCCCACCTCCCATGGCCTCCATCCCTCCATCAGCCCACTTCGGGGACCCTCCGAGGAAAGCGTTTCCTAGCCACTCACTCATGGTGGATCCCACCCATCTAGGGTTCCCTGGAGCGCTCTAGTTGCCCTGGAACTGCTTCTTCCCACCAGAGTCCCCTTCCTAGGATGGAAACCATGGGTAGGGGCCCAGCATGTGGTGAGGATGGGTTAGAGCACAGGCACTGCCATGGTGCCACCCATTCCCACCAGATAGGAAGGCCCCACTCACTGTTCCCCCCAACAGTGAGTGACCCCTGCTTCTCCAGTCCCTGCGGGGGTCGAGGCTATTGCCTAGCCAGCAACGGGTCCCACAGCTGTACCTGCAAGGTGGGCTACACAGGCAAGGACTGCGGCACAGGTGAGCTGGTGGGATGCCCATTGGGAGGAATAGGCAGCTGGGCTTGATGACTCTCTTTGCCTGGGGGTCTGCCCAAGAGTGGTCTCCTGGGTAAAGGCACAGGCAGTGCTGCCCCAGCAGGAGGGATGCATCAATACAGCCAGAGTGCAGAGGCAGGAGCTGCCAATGGGCTAGAAGCTCAAGGAAAGGGACCTGGGAGAGGGGAGCTCCCAGCTAGCAGCAGCATGGCTGCCCAGTTCAGGGGACCAGAGGAGGCACCTGATGGGCCGGGATCCCCAGCGGGCAGCTGACCATGCCCTTCCCTTGTGTCCTGGCTGGAACCCTGAAGAGCTCCTCCCACCAACGGCCCTCAGGGTGGACAGAGTGGAGGAGAGCGGGGTCTCCATCTCCTGGAGCCCCCCCAACAGCCCCACCGCTAGGCAAGTGCTGGACGGCTATGCGGTCACTTATGCCTCCTCGGATGGCTCCTACCGCCGCACTGACTTTGTGGACAGGAGCCATGCCTCACACCAGCTGCGGGCCCTGGCACCTGGCCGGGCCTACAACATCTCTGTCTTCTCGGTCAAGCGCAACACCAACAACAAGAACGACATCAGTCGGCCAGCAGCACTGCTCACCCGCACTCGTGAGTGGCACTGCCCTTGGGGAGGGGCCAGCTCCAGGAGGAGCATAATCAGGGAGGATGTCAGGGACAGAGGAGGGCACCTGTCAGGTGCTGGCCCTGAGGATCGACTGAAAGTGAGCTGAAGCTGGGGGGATCTGGAGCATGGCTGGCCTGGAGAGGGAGCGGTGGTGAGGAAAGAGAGAGGCTATTTCTGACAACTCTGGGAACATTTCTGCAAATGTCCTTACTGGGCCACCCTCCTGGAGCTGTGGGCCCCTGTAATTACAGAGGAATTCAGAAAGCCTGCCCCTTCAGAGTGGGGTCTCTACCAAGAGACGGGCTGTGAGAGGGGCCATCATCCATGCCTGCCCTCTGGCTGGGGCATTGTATCACCCAGGCTGAGGGCTGCAGTTGGGATCTGGGGTTGGCCCCTCCCCAATCCCTGTGCAGTAGCATCAGGCCCACAGGAAACTGAAGCTACAAGTGCTCCTTCCCTGCAGTCCTCAAGAATGCTGCCGTTTCCATCCTCAGGGTCAGCACTGTCCAGCCATGCCCAGGTGTCCACTGCTACAACCAAGCAGTCAGCACAAAGAAAGGGGGCATTCCTGGGTCAGCAGGGCTCAGAGCCCCTTCTATGTCACCATCTAAACCGGGAGAGAGACTCGGCCTGGCTCTGGGGTCCTGGCTGCCCCAAAGCCAGGTCCACAGTGGCTGCTCTGCAGCCAGCACTCCCAGAGGGGGCGCCTGGACACTCCCACCCAAGTCCCTGCTGGGCAACTGAAGGGTGCCTCTCTCCAGTGCGTCTCTGGGACCCCTGCACCCCAAGGAGCCTTGTTTTGTCTTGAGCCCCCTCCCCTGGGATCAAGGAGGAGCTGGCACCCGCTGAGCAGCCTGCCACCCCCAGGACCCCGCCCCGTGGAGGACTTTGAGGTCACCAACATGACAGCCAGCACGGTCTCAGTGCGCTGGGCGCTGCACAGGATCCACCATGCCGCTGCCAGCAGGGTGCGGGTGTCCATTCTCCACCCAGGGGCTCCTGAGGCCCAGGCCACCGATGTGGACAGGAGTGTAGACCAACTCACGTTTGGGTAAGCAGAGAAGCCCCTACCTGGACAAGGCTGAGGCCCAGGTAACTAGACTCAGCCCTGGTGCCTCAGTCTATCCACTGGGGGCAGCCTGGCTTTGCACGGGGCCCTCATGATGGACCTTGTGGGGTGGCTGACCTGAGGGGAAATCATGGCAGGCAGTGCTACAGGAGAGAGAGGAGGTAGGGGCCTGGTCAGGGCCCCCTGTAGTTCCTGTGCTGATGCAGGGCGAGGGCCAGGGTCAGGTGCCTAGAGCACTCCCCAGCAGCAGCCCTGGAGTCAGCACAGGGCTGCTGTGTGAAAAGCTGACTCAGGTGGAGTCGGTGACCAAACAGTCCAAGTGGGCAGATTCTGGTCTGTGCACTGGTTGGGAGGCAGAGACCCTTGCTTTTGTCTCCACCAGAACCTACTGCTCCGTGTCCTGATTCACGTACTGCCCCATGATGGGGAAACTTTCACTTTCAATGATAACGCAGCACACGTGCCATAATTCACTGCCATGGTCTTCTCCATAGAACCACCTGAGGCAGGCTGGGGTGAGGGGTGTGTGTTGGCTGTCATGGTCCTGAGACCACACAGCCAGGCTTGCCAGGAGTACTCAGCACAGAGCAGCTCCTGCAGCCAAGACCCACCTCAAAGAGGGGACAAGTGAGCCTGGGCTCCTCCCCAGGGACCTGAGTCATCAGCCCAGCACCTGGGCTATTTCCAGGCTACTCTCACAGCACCTTGTGCTGTGCACATGGAAATTCCAGGTCCCTGGAGGGTCTTAGTGTAAGCCACAGTGTCAAGACAGTTCAGCCACAGCAGCCTCTCACCTACGGGCAGTGAGGCCCCTCCAGTCTCAGTCCCCAGGTATAGCTAGCTCCCAGTGAGCTGTGCAAGCCTGCACAGGGATCTTTGCTGCCCCTCTTCTGGCTTTGCCCCTCTGACCAGGGAACCACTACCCTCAGGGCATGAACCTGGCTCAATCCTCAATTGGACACCAGGTCTAAGGGCTGCCCCTGAGGGACACCCCTGCCCCTGGTCATGCTGAGTTGGCCACAGGCCCCAGATACCCTGTCCTTCTCTTCCCGCTTACAGGGCCCTGCTGCCAGGAAGGAAGTACACCATATGGGTGGCTACCCTCAGTGGGCCAGGGGGTGCAGAGCAACCCACCGAGAGCCGGGCCTCTGCACTGCTGCACGTGTGGACCCGTAAGTAAGCAGTGGCCTCTGTACCCACACACAATCCTCCTAGAACTCTGGCCTCCTCCTGCAAGTGTCCACATGCTAGGAACCCAGTCCCTGGCCCTCCAAGGTCCCTTCCTATAGGGAGAGGCTGCAGCACTAACTGACCAGAGGGTGCCCCAGGACAGTGTGACTGCTCCCTCTGCCTCGATCCTGGGTAGTTCCAGGTCACAACCCTCTCACTCTGTGGAGGATGTGGGTGGGCAGTGATGGGGAGGAACGAGCCCAAGGGAGAACGATGTCACAGTGGGTTCAGGAGGTGTGGTGGTGTGCACAGAACCTCCCCTCATAGGGATAGGGTGTGCCCTTGGATGTAGCCCATTTGGGGGGGCAGAGACAGCCCCCTCCCAAGCCTCCTTCTTTTATTCTCTCCCCACTATTCCTAGGACTATACTGTTGTCCACAGTAACTGGATCTGGCTTCCAGGGAAGCCTCAGCAGTCCCACTCAGGGCCTATGCTATGTCCTTAAAAGACAGTGTTCGCTCTGTCCTTCACCTCTACCTGCTGTCTGTGCCTTGTCCAGGGCCCCTGCCACCAGCAAACCTGACTGCCTCCCGTGTCACAGCCACTTCTGCCCACATGGTCTGGGATGCCCCAACACCAGGAGTGTCACTGGAGGCTTATGTCATCAATGTGACCACCAACCAGAGCACCAAGAGCCGCTACGTCCCCAATGGGAAGCTAGTGTCTTACACGGTGCGTGACCTGCTGCCTGGGCGGCGGTACCAGCTCTCGGTGACAGCTGTGCAGGGTACAGAACAGGGCCAGCTGCACAGTGAGCCTGCACACCTCTACATCATCACATGTGAGTGCCCCAGGCCAACTGAGGTGGTTGGTGTGCTGGAGTGCGGGCCCCTGTGCAGGCCCCTTGCCTGAAATGGGTCACACTGTGCCCAAGGCATCAGCCTGTCTGGGAACAGGCCTGATGAATCATGGAGAAACTATAAGAGGTGCTGTCTGCACCAGGGAGGGTGGGCCTCATCCAGGGGTGCTGATGGTCTGGACAAGGTATGTCCTGCACCACACCCAAACAGGTAGGTAGGCAGCACAGGGCATCACTCTTCAGCAGGTATCAAGTGGGCAGTGTGGGGAAGCCCCAGAACTGGTCTTATACCCTGGGCCTAACCCACAGGAGCTGCTGGACTGAGCAAGAAGAGGGACAATGAGCCGGGTGTGGTAGCTCACGCCTGTAATCCCAGCACTCGGGAAGCTGAGGCAGGAAGATTGTTGCAAGTTTGAGACTAGCCTGGGCTACAAAGTCAGCGCAAGGCCAGCCTGAACTGGATAGAGAGATTCTGTCTCAAAAAGACCAAAAAAAAAAAAAAAAAAAAGAGGGACCAGGACACTGGGATTGGGGGAGGTGGAGGATGTTTTGCCCATGAGAGTGAGAACAGCTGGGTACAGGGCTCAGGAAACCCACCAAAAACCAGGATCTGTTCTCCAGGGCAGAGGGGCGCTGCTGACGGCCTCCACCAGGGTCATGCTGGTGTTCTCAAAGCTGCTGTGAGAACACCATTTATCTGAGCAGCACAGGGGGCAGAACACAGCAGTGGCAAGAGCAGGAAACCAGCAGACCAAGTGCAGAGCCAGACAGATCAGAGCCCAAGAGTGAAAGGTCTCCTTCCCACTCCCCAGCTCTGTGGTCTCCCAGTGCGGCTGCCAGCATATCTGCATGGCTGCATACCTGCTGGGTAGGAAAGGCAGGCTGGGGCTGGGAGGGATCCCAGCTGAGGCAGCTGCCAGGAATGCTGGCGTACCAGGGGACCAGGGCCAGGTCCCAGTGTCAAAGCAGTGTCTGAATGCACAAGGAACACCATGGGTGATGTGGCCTCTCATGTGGATAGTAGCATCTCTCCCCTACCAAACAAGAGGAATGAGTGTGGGCCATGCAGGGCAAGGGCAGCCTGGGCCAGCCCCATGGCATTGCCTCCCACTTGCCTGCTCTGCAGCCCCCAGGGACAGCACTGACAGACGCTGGCACCAGGGAGGACACCATACCCGGGTGCTCAGGAACAGGCCGCCCCCAGTGCGCCTGCCTGAGCTGCGCCTGCTCAACGACCGTAGCTTCCCTGAGGCACCAACCCAGCAACCCAGGTACACACCCCGGCCACCAGCCCTGGGGTCCCAAAGGTGTGCTCCAGCCACAAGGACCTGCTACCCTGTGCTCCCACAGGTTCCTGGAGCTTGTGGATGGAAGGAGACGAGTGAGCGCCAGGTTTAGTGGCCCGCCCAACAAACTGATCACCTCAAGACCACGTGAGTGCTGTGGCCCACCTGGGACAGACTAGGTATGTTAGTGGGCTCGCTGCCACTCCCCTTTGCCCTTTACAATCTGGATATACAGACCCCTAGCATCTGGTCCTTTCCCAGCCAAGGCCTTGGGCAGAGCCAGCTGATTAGGGACTGCCGCACTGTCAGCACGTGACCAAAGATGTAGACTGTTAACAGGGTGCACCAGGGAAGTCAAAACTAAAACCATTAGAAGCAGATGAGGTGACATGAGTGTGGCCTGCACAGAATGATAAATGCAAGGAGTGAGTGGTGCAAGGAGCAGGACTGGAGGGACAGGAGTGGCTCTGAACCACTGCATTGGCTGTAAGAAGGTGGGCCCTGGTAGATGGGTCACTATAGTCTCTCCAGAGCTACTGGGGTGGGTCTTGCTGAGGGGCCACAGGAGGCAGTGCATGGGGATCAGTGGGTGGCAGAGAGCTGCTCAAAAGGGGCACCTAGGACAGGCCTGGGCACAAAGAGGTGTGACAAGTGCCCACCCCTGGCTTTCCCAGAACCCACCAGCCTGGTGTCACCTGAGAACACGGAGGAAGCCCCTGAGCAGGTCCACCTGGCCCTCCAGCTCCCTGAACTCAGCGACAAGGATATAGAACGTAAGTCCGCAGCATGAGGAGGTGGGGACTGACTGCCTTGTGCTAGACACAGCACCTGAAGAATCCCAGTCAAGGGATCTGGAGGCACAAGGCCTACCCAAAGGACTGCCTGGCACCCCCTCTTAGAAACTACCTAGGTTTTTTTTTTTTTGGTATTGGGGATTGCACTCAGGATCTTGTGTTTGCCAGGCAGGGGCTTATGCCACTGAGCTAAATCCCCAGCATTTGGCACCCCTCTTAGAAAGGGTGGGGCCAGCCAGTCGTCCTTGGGGAACAGGCTGGAACAGGGCCCATTCAGTCCCCACAGGGTGTGTCAGAGGGTGGCCTCTCCATCAGCTGCCCCCTGCCCCACCTCCTCCACCCTATGCTCTCACTTCTCTATACAGCTGTGTTGAGTGAGGAAGGTGGGAATCGGAGGTGGGAGGGCACACAAGCCCAGCCTGGAGGACACCCACCCAGTCTGGGCCAGCACATGGTACTGTCCAGTGCTCTGCCTTGTAACAGCCATAGCCAGGAAGGCCTCCAAGGAGGTGTCTCCTGTGGACTGCATGATGAATGATGCTCCATATGCAGTCAGACTCTGGCCCTGCCTGGAAGGCTCTGCTGGGCCCTTGTGGCCCTCTCCTGAGTCATGCCAAGGGCATGAGCTGTGTTTACCCATCCTCCTGACCCCAAAGAAAGTCAAGCATACAGAAAGGCACAAATCCTGAGGATGGTCCCCAAGAACAGCTGCATTAGCCAACAAGTGTTTGCAAATGCTGGCTTCACTATGTATAGTCTGCAGCCTCCCTTCACAGGCTTTCGGCTCACAAGGGGCAGGCGGGTAGCTCAGCAAGCAGCCACCAAGGAGGATGTCCTTCTGTGAAGACATGCTCATCCTGCGAGCAGACACACTCACTGCTGCTTTTGGAGTGGAACAAAGAGAGCTCCCATCAGATGGGTTCCATTACATCAGGCTCTCTAAATATTAGGTGCTCATTTCATGAAACTGAGAAATTGGGACCTACACTGGCCCTCAGCTCACTGTGACCCTGGAGTCTGCCAGACACAGCATGCAGGCCCTGGGGGTGTGTAAGATGACTGTAAATGGTGTGTGGGGAAACCTGAATGTGGCTTGGAGTTTCTTACGTGCTCATTAGTCATTATGGCACTGTGGCTTCGTGAGACACTGTGGTTCTCTGGTGTAGATGCTGGGGAAGGGTTTACAGAAGTGCTGCGTAGGCCGAGGAGCTGCTCTGCAGTTCTTCAAGAGGTGACAGAAAGATAAGAATGCACAAAATGGGACACGTGAAAGCTGAGTTTTTTCTCTTTGCTTTAAACCCTCAACTCAGAGAAGAAAGTCATCCAGCTGGGTATGGTGGCACATCCATGTAATGAAGAATTCTGGGAGGTTGAGGCAGAAGGACTGAACGTTCAAGCCCAGCCTGGCAACTTAGCAGTTAGCAAGACTCCATTCTAGTTGGTAAACTGGGAATGGGTGGTGCACACTTGTAATCCCAGCACTTGGGAGGCTGAGGCAGGAGGATCACTGCCAGTTTAAGGCCAGCTTGAACTACACAGCAAGCCCCTGTTTTAAAAAAAGGGTAGGGATAGAAATGTAGCTCAGGAAGAAGGCCCTGGATTCATTCCCTAGTAATGAAGAGAAAAAGAAGAGTCCCAGAGGACCAGGGTAGGTGCAGTGGCCTCTAAGGCCTGCCCAGGAACCCTGGGACTGGCCCCTGGGAGCCAGAAGCAAGCTGAGAAAGGGCTAGACTCCACAGTGGGGGGCGGGGGGGGTTAGACTGAGCCTTCTTCAGAACTTGATATGGTGAGTGATGTGTAATTCTTATTCATCTCTCCTTTTCAATGCTTGCTAAATTAAAATATGAAACAGGTGTCTTGATAAAGCTGAAAGGACAAAAGCTAAGGGCAGCAGGTATTTAAGAGGAGCTACTGTGGTATGGCAGGGACACACAGAAGTGGGTAGACATGAGCACGGAGGACAGCCAGCCAGTTCTGCAGAGGGCTGCCGGAGCTGGAGCACGGGGGAGAAGCCCCAAGCCTGAAGGCAGGTGATGTGGGCATGGGGCCTCAGATTCCATGCAGAAGCAAGGCTGTGCAGAGCCAAGTCAGCAGCAGAGCAGGCTGGGAGGCATGTGCCTGGTGGCTGCAGCACAGATGCTCAGTGGACTTGCTCCCTCTTTCCTTGAGGTCAGAGGTCAGGCCCAGGTGACGGAAGCTGCCTCCTCCTTTGCCCTGTCTCTACACACCTGGCATGAGGCCAGACTGTACAACAGCAGCTGACTCTCCTGGCTGTTTCCAGGTGCCCGGGGAAGTTGCTTAGAGGATACTTGTCACAATGGAGGCACCTGCGTGCCTGGCACTGACACCTACAGCTGTAACTGTGGGCCGGGGTTCAAAGGCAGACGCTGTGAGCTCGGTAAGTCAGGGCTGGCCGTTAAAGCAGGGTCTGGGACTTGGCCCTGACATGATGAGCATAAGTTGGTTTGCCTGGGGGAGGGACCCAGGTCCAGGGGCTTATGGGCAGGACCTATGTATGAGGTGACCCGAAGCCCCGGGGGACTGCATAGCTACCAGAGTACCAGAATGAGAGGTGCTGCCTGACAGGGAGGCCTGAGGAAAAACTGCAAAAGGGCCCTAAGCAGCAGCCACAGCACAGCAAGGTATGGCTGCAGGGCAAGAGCAAAAGTGAGGAGCAGAACCTACAGGAGGGACATAGGCTCCACTTTTGGACTGAGTGCCAAGGATAGCCAACAAGTGCCGCCCACATCTGCTATACCATCCTCAGGACAGTCTGGCTGCAAGGATGGCCAAAGCCAGGTGATCCCTGCAGGCATCGAGCACCCTCAGGGACAAGGCCTATATTTCAGGAAGCAGGCAGTACAGACCCCCAGATTCCCCCACGGGGCCTCTTGAGGGGCTGGGAGAAAACTGCTGTGGCTTGGAGCTTCCTCAAAAGCCCCTGCCTGTCCCCTCTGTGCCCACAGCCTGTGAAAAGGTGCCTCGCCCCTGCACGAGACTGTTCTCGGAGACAAAGTCCTTTCCGGTCTGGGAGGGAGGCATCTGCCACCACATGTAAGTTGTCTGCCCTCAGCTTCACCCCATGATGCAGCACTCAACTTCTCCCATTTTTTTTTAATACCTATGGCATCAAAGGCGCCCACAGCTGAGCCCCCGCCCCATGTCTTCAGCCTCCTCTCCCACATCCCAGGCCTCCCTGAACACAGGACCACGTCCACCTGGATGTGAGGACTAACCGTCCCTTCCCTTCCTCAGAGCCCCCTGGGAAACAGCACACAAGACCACCAGTCCCAAGGAGGCCTGAAAAAAGTCACAAACAGGGGCCCCAAGCAGCAGCCACAGCACAAGGCATGGCTGCAGGGCAAGAGTAGAGGTGAGGAGGAGCAGCAGCAGCAGAACCCGCAGGAGGGACATAGGCTCCTCACAGCCAGTCCTGCTGTCACATGACCCTGGGCAAATCACTTGTGCTGTTTCATCTAGCTGGTTTCTGGGGACCACTGCTGCCATCTGTGGTTGAGTCACACCCATAGACCCGACTGAGCGCCTACCCCACTGCACACAGTGAGCAGCAGGTGCAGATGAAGGCTAGACCATGGTAACAGGCACGCTGGGCAGTGTCGAGGTGGCAATGTCTGGAGAGCCAGGGAGCTCAGAATAGGCCCCACAGAAGAGGTGGCAATGCAAGACATAGATGAGGTGGGGATCTGAGGGAAGAACATTCCAGGTCAGACCGTCCGTCCCTAAGCTTCTGCATCAGTATCCCAGTATATCTGAGGAACAATGTGGGGGTCAACTGGGGCTGAATTAGTGTTAGGAGGGCAGGGGATTCTCAGAACCATGGCATTCACTGTCCACAAAGTGAGGGGCTACTGAAGCCTTCTGGGCTGAGGGTGATGTGTGACTGTATTTCACCGACCACTGTGGATGTCCTGAGGATAAGAAGGGGCAACAGCAGGAAGCTTCATGAGCTCAGTACAAGCCAGGCTCTACCACAGCAGGAAAATGCAGGAGCCTCTGACCCAGTGGGGCTCCCAGCCACAACTCTGGGCTCTGCAGTGTGACCGAGTCCATACAGTTCCTTGATCTCGTCACCCTGCTGGCTGCACTGGAGCCTGCTCCTCCACTGAACGCCCCAGGGCCTACCAAGGACAGCCCTTCACTTACACTTCCTTTTTTCCCTTGTAAGCTATCTGCATGACTCAAGTACCCACAGCTGACGTGGCTGTTTAAATCTATCATACTATTTGTCCCATCTGCTCTTTTTAAATTGTTGTCTCTTCCTGCCTAATTTTAGATTATGGTTTAGGATTCCATTTTTACCTTCACCACTGGCTTGCAGATTAGACATTTCTGATTTGGAATTTGTTGAGCAGTTACTCTAGGATTTGCAACACACATCTTCAGCTGTGAGAATCTACCCTCAGTTACTAGCACCTGCCTTCAGTGTCATGGTGCATTCTTCTGAAAGCACAGGTCCTCCTCCCTCCCCACCTGAAGCACCTAAGCTTCTTACTTTCACACAGTATTTTAAGTTTGTTCTCAACAACTATCTTTTTTTTAAAGTGTTCAAAAATAAAGTCTTTGCATTTGCTTGTGTCTCTACCACATCTAATACTTGTGTGGGCATTTAGTCCAGCAGGTATCTTCTTCCTTGGCATATAGCATCATTTTCTACAGCACAGAGCTTCTGGTAATAAGTTTTCTGCTTTTGTTGCCCAAAAAAGCTTTTATCTCACTTTCACTTTTAAAGGAAGAATTTGCTGACTATAGAATCATTAGTTGATGGTTGTGATTTACATTATCGCTGTCATTCCTTGGTCTTGTGCTCTGCATAGTTCCAGACAAGACGGCAGTCATGGTTACCTGGGTTGCACCATATATAACATGTCCTCCCCACCCCATAGCTGCTTTTTTTTTTTTTTTAATTTTATTTAAGGAGAAAAAGAAAAAAAAAAAGCAGAAAAAGGGTACAAGTTATACAGAATTTCAGAAAAAAATAAACAGTAGGAAATCACTAGTTAATGGATTACATATTGTCATCTTAGAAATATTTGTTCAAGTTACAAAATTAAAGCTTGTATAGTGGACATTCAAACGGTGAGACCAAACAGTTCTGTTCAATGATCCAACAAAACTCAGTAATATCATTGTCTATCTTATACACTTAAATACACATGCAGTTACATCGTTTAGAGCACTTTCTTTTCCTCTCTTTTGTACAATGACTATTACACATTTTGAGTTTTATTGCTCCCACAGTTCTTATTACTTTTTTTGGAAGAGAGTAAAACCAAATGTCACATAACAGAACAGTCGGTCAAATCAAAAGGGTGGACATAATAGATAATGTAAAAACATAATACAAGGTGATTAACAATGGTTACCATAATCCTCCCGCTCCCATAGCTGCTTTTACATTTTTCTCTTTATTACTATTTCTGGCCAAGTTAAATATGGTATGCTTTGGTATGGTTTTTACTCTGAGATGTAAGCTTTTCATACCTTTAAGGCTTTAGATTTTGTCCAATTAGGAACATCAGGGCCATTGTTTCTTATATTTTTTTCTGTCCCTCCACTCTTCCTCCTCTTAGAACTCTTATGTGTGTTAGACCAATATCATCCCACAGATCACTGGAGCCCTTTTTACTTTTTGGACAGTTTTCTGCTGTGTCCAAGATCATAGTCTTTTCTTCTACAGCAACTAACAACTTGCCATCAATCCTACCAACAGAATCTCACTTCAGACACTGAATCCTGTCATTTGCAGGTATTCCACTTTTCATTACGTTCATCACATTTCTTCCAGTCACCAAAATGCAGCAGAGGCATCATGTTTACAGCCCTTGCCTGTGACTTCCGTCATTGTTCTTTTTTCTGTGTCTTTTTTCCTCCCTCAATTAGAAGCCACAATTTCCTGTGATTCTTTGAATGTTTTGCAATTTTTTACTGGATCCTGAACTATAAATTTTATGTTACTGAGTGCTAGATTTTTTTTTAAGATCATTGTTCTTTTCTGCAAGACCTTTTTTTTTTTTTTTTTTTTTTTTTTTTTTGGTCTTTTTTGAGACGGGGTCTCACTATGCAGTTCAGGCTGGCCTTGAGCTCACTTTGCAGCCCAGGCTGGTCTCAATCTTGCAACAATCCTCCCACCTCAGCCTCCCGAGTGCTTAGATTACAGGTGTGAGCCACCTCACCCAGCTGCAAGACATTTCTTGAGTTCAGTCAGATTTTCTTGAGGTTTGCTCTCAAGTCGCCTTATTCTAGGGTAGATCTGCCCCTTGTTATTACATGAGATCTGTCTGCACCAGCCCCAGTATGACACTGCTCCTTGTGTCCTTTTCTCCTGGCCTGCATGGCTCAACCTGCAGCCACAGGTTTCTGAGGCTGCTCCTCTGCAGAGCTCCTCTCCAGTGCACCACCCACAATTCCTGCTTTCCTCTACTTCCCCACTGCAGTCCATTTCAACTTGGCATGATCATTACCCAGCTCCCTCTTGGCAGTGCTATCTAATGGTGCTCCAGGCTGAACTGCAGGATGGCCACAGGGCTCATCTCATGTATCTATCTTCTAATGGTCTGTAGTCTGTTTCTTAGATTGCTTGTTTTCTAACATCAGAAAACAGTTACTTCATGTTAGTCAGCTTTCCCATCACTGCAGCCAAATAGCCAACATTCACAACATAAAGGAGCAGGTTTAATTTGGCTCAAGGTTTAGAGGACTCAGTCCAGGATTGGCAGGCTCAATGTAAAAACATCATGGTGGAAAGGTGTGGTGTGGGGCAGAGCTGCTCAATTCATGCTGGTTGGGAGGCAGAGCAGAACTGCAGTAGGAGTGGCCAGGGACCAGCTATAGTATCCAAGGCTGCACCTTGTGACCCATCCAGCTCCCATGTGGCTCCGAGACAAGCCCTTCCCATCCTTGTCGTCTATAGACTCATGAGAGGCAGTATATATAACTCCCACTTTACAAGCTAAAGAATCTTACTTCAAGTTGCCCGGCTCAAAAATGGAAGAGGCAAGCTTGGAATCAAGTTTCCTAGTCCAAACAGTCCACATATCAAAGCTTCTCAATCTTCTCCATGAAATCCCCAAATAGACAAGATTGGGGTCATTCCTTCCCAAGGCCTTGAGGTGATATGCTTCCAGCAAAGTCCTGTCATTGAAATGTGACACTGTAATCTCATTACAGCTTTGTCAGCACTTATCAAAATGCACTTGAAATTTGTGTATCGTATGTATGTCATACTCAGTAAAGCTGATGCTTTAAAATTCACATGACTTTTATGTTAGACATTTTCATGTACTCACAGCAGGTAAGATTTTATCAGGAAAATAGTGGTCTTGCCTCAAGCACCTTTTTATTTACCTGTGGTCAGCACAGCCTAGGCCAAGCAACTGGGCAACATTCTGCTTCAGTATCTTGATTTCACAGAGCTTTCTTGTGACAACAGGTATAAAAGAGTCTACAAAGTTCACCAAGATGTCTGCTTCAGAGAGCTCTGTGAAAGCACGAGCCTCAAGAAACCCCAAACAGGTACATCTTGGGGCCCTGGCTGAGGCCTATATGCAGCTAGCAGCAGGTGGGCTGTGGTGGTGATGGGACTGGCAGAGTCAGGTGTCTAGGCATGAAGGCATAAGCAGTCTGCACACTCACAGGTTGTGGTGCCAACAGGTCTGAGCATGTAATTGCAGACACAGGGAACCCATTTACTGTGCTCACATCTGGGTTTCTTCTCAAAGGGTTTGAGGTGGCCACAGAATGACTGCTGTTTGGAGTTTCACTGCTTTCACAATGGGGTCTGACCCTGAGTCATCCCCTCCATAGACATACCCCTTGTGTGACAGGGCACCAGGCAAAGGCTTCAGGGTGCCACTCACCCCAGCTGCTGCTCCATCTCCCTAGGCAGTTTCTGCCTGGCCTCTTCCATGTTCTCCCCATGACACACATCCAGTTGCTGTCCTCTCCTTCCATGGTGACCACCTGGAGCAGGTAGTCCACACTTTGTACCACTGAGATAGATGTGAGCAGCACAGGGCTCTGGCAGGGTTCTGGACAGGAAGCATGCATGATGAGGTACACAAGTCTCTTTCTCTTAAAACATTTTTCTTGATTATTTCAGCAAACAAAGTAACAGTCAAACACTGAAGAAACCTTAAGGTATGTTACTCCACCAGTCTGAGAGCTGCTGGCCAGAGGGAAAGGCGGGTCCACCTGTCCCAGGCCAAGCACTGCGGCTCCTCTTGGCACTGCCTCAGCAAGCAAGCAGGCGCTGCTGTACAACCCTGACCAGAGGCTGTGGAATACCAGCAGAACCTGGTCAGCCTCAGAAACAGTCTTCTTCAGGCAGAAATAAGTCCCACTCTCTCAAGGGGAAGGAGAGCAGCTGGAAGGGGGCCCCTCAGGGAGGCTGAAGACTGCCCAGAAGACCAACTGGACGCCTGGAGGGAATTCAGAGTAGGTGGTGGGAGGGTGAGGAGGGCTGAGACCCTGGGGTACCAGAAGAGCATCACACTGTGTGTGGCATTGTGCTGGAAGGAAAGTGGCCTGGGGCCTTGGTCACAGAACATCTGGGAGGTCCTGAAGACAGCAGACACTGGTATTCCTTGCATCATGAACCCTGAAATCAAAGAAATGCTACCTTTGCTTGATCAGGCATTTCCCAGCTCTTCTGGCAGATAAACCTCTGCATCCCCTCACCTTCCTGCACACACGGCTCTGCTGATTCCTAAAGAGCATTATTTACAACTGATTGAAAAATACTGGCTGGGGCCACAGAAACTGACCTGCAGTCTGCAGCCGGCTCTATATTGAACTTCTCAGCCACATGATGTCACTAGGATGAAAGCCTGGAGCCTCCAGCAGCAGCCTGTGCCACCCCTGGACAAGCTGGCCTTGCAGGGCGTGAGTCTCTTCTGTCAGGAGCCATCTCAGGCACAGCCTCTTTTCTTCCATAGCCAAGGAGGTAAAAGGGAGATATCCCTCAAAGGCAGCAAAGACCAGCCAGAACCAAGGAGGCTTTTGGGATTGTCACACACCAACGAGGGGTCTACATCAATGGGGCACGCTGGGTATAGCTCCACGGGCATCAGAATAAACTCTGAGAGGAGGCCTGTGAGGCAGCGCTAACACAGCCAGGCTGCTTCAGATGTGCAGTCTGTCAAGAGCAGCTGGTAGCACTCAATTATGTCCCCTCCCCTCTCACCACAGCCTCTGAAGACACACACAAAATACTCCAAGGTGTGCAAGCAACGGAGTCCTGGTCGGGACCAAGAATTCACAAACCTCCTCAGGGCTTGAAATATTTCATGGTAAAGCACCTGAAATATTAATGTGTATCTTTTAAAACCAGCAATGTTTCTATAAAACTATGGGGACCCCCAATTAATTATCAAATACTGACTTAAGAACTTTTATTTTGAAACAATGAGAAAACTATAAAGAGGAAACGAACACCTTCACCAGACACCAATCTAAGAACAATACAAAAATTCTTTTCAATCCAGAGACCTAACATCACCAAGGGGAAGAGGGTAGAGAAGAGTAGCCTGTGGAACCAGTGGAAGCCTCGAGGCTGAGCACAGGTAGCCTTGAAGTCAGGGTGAGTCTGGGCCACCACTCACTGCCCTCTGCACCACAGCCAGATTGGAATGCTGACACTGGAACAGTATGGGTCCTCTAGGGGACAGTGCCTACAGCCTCCAGAGAAAGACAGTCATGTAGAAAGGAGGGAATGTGCTGTCTTCCTCACGCCTCAGTCCATTTTTCCTTCAAGGATTTGGGATGTGCCTCTCACCTTCTACCCACCTCAGGAGTTTGTAAAACCCAGAAAGAGGTGGTCTAACAACTGGACCATAAAGACCCGTGGAGACAGGGTTCTGGGTGGAGTCTGCGCCTTCTGTAACCTCCAGAAAACATAGTACCACACACATACCAGCATACCTGGGGACTCCTCCAGGAGCAGGGAGGCACCCAAAGCCCCTATAACCTAACCCAGGGTGTGGTTTCCCAGAGGTGTATGCCCAGGTGGAGATGGTAAGCAGTGCACCCAGGATAGCAGGGCTTCTGTGGTAATGCTTCTGCAGTACTCAGAAATCAGCTCTCAAGACTCCAATTTCAGAGACAAACCTGCCTTGATCCCCACCACATGGCGGAGACAAGACCTCTACCAGCTTCCAAAACCTAGACTGATAAGATGCACAAGAATAGAGGTGAGGGAGGCAACCCATTCCATGCCTCTAGTTTTGATGAAAGAGACAATGTTTATCACTGCTAAGTGTAGCTTAGGCAGTTTTAATCTATACATGGGTTGGCACTTTTTCTATAAAGCTTCAGGTGGTTTTTTAGGCTTTGCAGGCCTCTGTGGCAACCACTCAGCTCAGCCACTGGCATGAACAGCCATAGAGGTACAACTGTATGGACTGCTGTTGCAGTAAAACTTCCTTTCCAAAGCAGGTAGTGGCCTAAGTAACCCCTGGTCTTTGGTTACCTAGGATGCAGACTCAGAGGAAACCATGCCCTGGGCCTGTGACACAAAGAAAGCTATCCAGACCCATGCTGAGAAAGCTGGGCCACACCCCAGAGGTTGCACTCACTCATAAAAATGTTCTTTAAAGTTGTATTTTAGGCCCTCTATTTTTATTAAATTTTACATGCACATGTCTGTGTATTATGCAGTTTGTCCTTTCCAGAGGAGGAACAGCCATGAAGAAATCTCTGCTAAGAACACTGCCCTGTCTTCTGAGAGCTAAGGGCAGAGATCAGTGAAGGGTGAAAAGAGGGACGAGGTCTGCAGATACGCACAACTGATGTCCCCTGCAGCACCAGGGCCTGACCCACCCCTCCAGCAGCACTAGCAACTGGTAAAATGGACATTACTGAATGGAACATGGAACTTCCTGTACCATGCTAGTGACCTCATGACCCTCAGCCACTAGGCAAATATAAATGTGTTCCTTCTGGGATTTTTTTTGAGACATTGTTTCAGTCTGTCTGAAAGGCAGTTCATGCTGGCCTTGAACTCACAGCAATCTTCCTGCCTCAGCCTTCTAAGTGCTTGAATGACAGGCATGAACCACCACCATGAGCGTGGTTTCAATTTTTAACTTAGAAGCCACTGTTTCAGCAAAGACACCAACTAGATGCTGAGCTGTATGGTGTGGTCATATGGTCAACCTAGTCTGTTTCCAAAGCACAGGGTCTAATGCTTACGGCATCACAGTCACCTGGTCAGAAGTCACCACTGCTGTTCTCATATGTCCTTTCTAAGACTGATGTGGTCTCTGAAAACACTAAAGTTCAGCCAAACAAATGAGTCATAATGAAATCTGAGAATTATCAGGGTATAAAGATTTGCTTCTCTGCCAGAATAAAAGCAGAATGAGTTGTGCAGTTTATCAATCAAGATGGGCTCAGCTGACCATCTAATCAAGCTCGAGTTTGAGCGCTCACCAGTCCTGTGGGCCAAGAACAGCAGCACAGGTTCAGGGAGATGACAGCCACTCCAATGTCACAAAGTGGAAGAAAAACATGAACGCAGGTGCACAGTGGGCATCTTCATTGTTCTGCCCCTCGCCAGAAACAGCCAGACAGACAGACTCCCCTGTCTGCACCAGCTGGGGGCTGCCAGGTGCAAACAGGACACCTTTGATGTACCTCACTCCCTTGGAGCACTGTTGGCAAACTGCTGCCACTGCAACTCACTGAGTCACAGAGCTGCTTTTCTTTGTAGTCCTGCTGCAGCATGGGCCTGCAGGAGAGCGCAGAATCCCCACAACAAAACAAAGCTTTTTAATAGAAATAAATAGTTAGCAGCCCAAAGGAAGCGGTCATTGGACCAGGCTGTAAAGTGGTCTCTCAACTTTGGCACTATTTGGGGCTGGATCACTCTTTGTTTTCAGGCCATCCTGGACATTGTAGGGTATTTTGTAGCATTCTTGGCCACCACTCAGTACAGCCTAGTAGCACCCCACCCCAGGATGATTACAACCAAAGAGGTCTCCAAGTCTATCAGATGCCCCAAGGGTCAAGGCTGTTTCCAAGTAAGAGCTGCAGCTTTATAAGACACTTAATGTAGGCTATATGGGAAGAATAAGTCCAGGTCTCAGAGGAGTTTCATGTGGCTGTTAAAATGCTGCCAAGCACTCAAACTTTGGTTACCAAAGATGCTTTCTGCAGCACCAGTTCTGTGCAATTCCCTAAGGAAGGGGAATGCCCCAGAAGCCACCAGTCCTCCGACCAAACACTCTGCCCTTACAGCCAGGCCTCTACCTCAGAGTACACCCCATCCCCATCCCCAGCATCTCACACGTTCCCCAATGTGAGGCCCCCACTGGGGTGTATGGAGAAATTTCTGTTACGAACCCAAAACCAGTCCTGGGCCTGGACTCACAAAGCAGGGTGACTGTCCAGGAATACTCCCCAACTCCTCCAGCCTTGGCACGCTCCAAGTCAGCACAGCCCTGCAGCACAGGCCATGAGCCGCAGACACCAGGCCTGCAGGTGACCAATGCCCACTGGAAGACAGGGAAATCAGCTTGCCTGGGCAGGAAAGGCTGGTTCTTCGCCACAGAAACTATGCAAAACTAAAGCACCCATCATTGACCAACTGCCTTTTACTCTGCTGTACACTGAATGCAATTAGGAAGTCATGAGATATTTTTGGATTTGAAACATGGGTATTTTTGTAGGAAACCTGCTACTTGTTTTCATAAAATAAAGTGCTATTATGTACTAAAACCTTATATTGCCTCTTCGTGATACTTTTATCTTTATCCTCTAAAGGAAATAAAGTGATTTTTGAACCAGAAGTTGGCACCTATTTGCCACATTATGGACTTAGCACCAACATTTTAACAGCAAGAGAAAAAAACAATCAAATGTGGATGTATTGTTTCCTCAGTTTTAACAGCTATTTAATTTAGGTTGGAATGGGGCTTCCCTATAGACCCCCCAAATCACATCAAAGCACCTACTCTTTGGTTTGACTTATCCACATCTTGGGTTGTTCATATATTTTTTTCACCAAAAGATCAGTGTTAGAATGAAATACCTGAGAGGATCCACGTGGGCTCTCAAAAGCTGTGAGGCTAAGAATGCTCCTAAGTTTCCTGGGCCCTTTTGCCTCAGCCCTTCAGCACAACTCCTCTTCATGTTCATCCTCACTTTCTTCCTCTTCCTCTCCCTCCTCCTCCTCCTCCTCCTCAGTAGATGTGCTGCTCTCAGGCTCTTCTTCTTCCTCCCGAGCCAAGAGCTTTTTAAAAACCACAAACTCCTCAGCAGAGGAACAGGCTGTCTTGGCCAAAAACTCAGCCTCCGGAACTCTGAGAATGTCCTTGAGTAAAGGGTTTGCAATCTGCGTCTGCCCCTTCTTATCAGGTGTTTGGTACCGTCCCAGGCGCTCCAAGTATATGTGTCTCTGCTTGATCTTGGTTAATGAGTATTTTAAGAACTCAGTCCTTACTATGTCCACATGCTTAATTCCCATTCTAAAGTATGCATACTGGAAGACATAAATATGTTAACAAATTTCACACACAGAATCTGGAAACCCATCATCCCACAGTTCATAAGAACTTAAGCTGTCTGAAAGCATTCAACAAGAATTGCCTAATTAACCACAGAATATTCATTCTATGATACTAATATCTGTATGATAGCTGACAATTTCAAAGCATTTTCAAATTCACACTGAGAAAAATGCAGCAGACAACAAAAAAGGCAGGAGAGAAAAACTGTATTTTTCTTTAAGTAGAAAAAAAGAAAATTGGGTTGGGGATTTTGCTCAGTGGCGTAAGTGCTTGCCTGGCAAGCATGAGGTCATGAGTTCGATCCCCACTACCAAAAAAAAAGGAAAAAGGAAAACAGTATGGAAAAATTGGTGAAAATTTTCATAAAACATCCAGGAATCTGAGGTAAGTTTGTCTTAACTCTTACTAAAATATTAATACAGGCTGGGGACATAGTTCAGTGGCACAATCTGGCAAGTGTGAGGTCCTGAGTTCGATTCCTGGCACCAAAAAAAGTAATTAATACAAGTGTCATAATTTTCAAAATCAACATGCAAAACAGGTTTTAAGGACAAGAAAGCTTTACTATTTCAGAGTCACCATGTGGACTTTAGTAACAGGACTGGGCCATTCACTGTGATGGAAAAGTGCTGCAGAACAGTTTAATCTGGAGTGGATACGCAGAAAAAACCTGAGACACATTCTTTTTGGCAAGTGTGTAAAAATAGAAAAAAGACTTTCACGTCATCCACTCAGAGGCTGGCTATTTCTTCATTTTGTAGTGTTGGAGGTTGAACCCAAAGCCTTCACACTGAACTACACTCCCCAGCCCTTTTTAAATTTTCAGATAGGCTTCTGACATGTCACTAAGTTATGTCACTAAGGCTGGGTTTGAACGTGTGATGCCCCTGCCTCAGCTTCCCAGACTGCTGAAATTACAGTCTTGCACCACCACACCCAGTGAGGCTTTTTTTTTTTTTAAATCTAGAATTGACCTTGGTCCACTTGAGAAACCTGAAAACTTTCCTGTTCCTTGCCTAATCACTCTATCAGCCCCTCTCACCTGGAATTTGTATTCCAGTTCACTGGGATTCCCCTGAAGCACATTGGGGCATCTGTGCAGAATTTCAGTGACCTGCTGCATGGTGAAAAGGCACTTCTCCTTGAGGACCTGAATAACATCATCGATATCCCGCTGACGCATGGTGAAAATTTCAGGGCAGCTGTGGAGCACCCTCTTTAGTTTCCCTGCATGACATTAAGAACGGAAAAGCACATCATTCCAGAAACCCTGGGCTAGCTGTGCCTTCAAGGTGAAGCCAGCCATAAGAAATGAATGAAAAGTGCAGCCTTCAGACACTCCTTCCATCAGCATCACGGAAATGACTTTTCAGACTCACCAGCTCACCCTATATCCCTGCCTTTCTTTGCCATCTGAAGATGCCAACTTCTTTTTTGAGATAGAGTCTCGCTCTATAGTCCAGGCTGGCCTTGAACTCACAGCAATCTTCCTGTCTCAGTCTCCCAAATGCTGAGATTACAGGTGTGTGGCACCATGCCAACTTCAAATTCTAAGTTTTCTCATGTCATCACCTAGACAAGAATTTCCCAGACATTTACTGGAAAGGTTAAACATGGGACTAGCTTCCCCCAGGTAGAGCTGGCTTCCCTCAGTAATAACAAGCACTGAAGCACTCACAGCCAACGCCCTCAGGACCTGGAAGCCCAACTCAGAGCTAGGCATTCTAATGATAGGAATAACAGCATTGTGATGTGTAGCACAAATACCAACATAATAGTTGCCTGCAAAACCATGCACTTTACCCAAACCAAGACCCTGTGTAAATGCATTAAGACAGCTGGTGTGGACTAGAACAATCCCAGGCAAATTGGGGCACACAGTCTTCCTCTGGACAGGTGGGCAACATTTAGTATATAGAAATAAAAAAAAAAAAAAGAAAGAAATTTAAAATCACTTTTCTGAACTGTCAACATTTTCTTTTTCTTTCTTTCTTTTTTTTTTTTTTTTGGTACTAGGGATAAAACTCACAACCTTGTGCTTGCAAGGCAAGCACTTATGGTGTTGAGCTAAATCCAGGGCCCAAAATTTTCTTATTAAAATGTGTGAAAAATGAACTTCATAAATTAGGCTTTATCTTCATAAGCTGTCCTGAGTTCACTAGTTAATAACAGCACCTACCCTCTCACATTTAAGCTTTGGATTACATTTAAAGAGATCATAAATTTGTTAAGAGAAATACACAAAGTCACCTTATTATTTTCTAAAGGAAGCCTATAGAGACCCTAAGAAATTATGAACTCGGGGATTTAGCTCAGCAGCATAAGCACCTGCCTGGCAAGCGCAAGGTCATGAGTTCAATCCCCAGTACCTCAAAAAAAAAAAAAAAAAAAAAAAAGAAATTATGAACTCTAAACCTCTGCTGCCCCCTGCATCTTACCAGGAAATGTCAATAAAAGAAATTATAGTGGAACTCCTCTGGTCAAAGAGGGTAGAGGTCCTTGGCGGTCTTTATGGGTCCCATCCCCATTCTCCAGAAGATCCCTAAGGAAATCCAAGGAATTCCAAGGATCTCTGAGGTGTGTACACTATTGGGAAGGTGGGACAGCCACAGGGAGTCTACTCCACCAGCATCCCAGGAGCCTGATGGATCTCTCAGGTTCCACGATAAATCAAAGCACTTAGTTGGAATCTAAGTCTGTAAGGGATGGAGTCACAGGCTAAGACTGCACTGAGTGTATTTTCACATCAAAGGCTACACATCTGTGCATACTTGTGTCACCTCCCACAAGCAACACCACCCGGCTGGACAGACTGTGTGCCACCACTGTTCTAGAAGGTAGAGATCCTCAGTGAACACATCACTGAGAGCTGGTCCTGGCCCTTGAGTCTCTCTTTTAGGCCTAATCTTCCCAATACCTACTATAGTACCTTCTGTAGAGGCCACTCCTCCAGGCTTTGTCACAGATTCTCTTCTAGGACACTTCTCAGAAACCTGAGCTAACCCAGCCCACCTTAGGCTATTCTTTCCTCAACTCTGATTCCTCTCACATTACTTAAAATCTCCATCTCCTTGTACCTTCTCCAAGGCCAAGCTTTCTCAAGTAACTGGAACGCTTCTTTATTTGCCCTACAGGCATTTTCAGCAACTGGGGGCTTTTCTTCAAGGCCACATACACAGGCTCTGGATTCACACCCAGGAGTATAAACTCTGAAATGACGTCTAGCAACTGCTGAGGGCTGGCATGTGGCTGTATACTAAGCAGTTCATTAATGTGGGCATCGCTGAAACCCATGTGCAGGAGAGAACAGACCACCTTCTCTAGAGTCAGTGGCCCTCCATCCACAGAAAGTCTCTGCTTCTCAGGGAGGCAATGAACAAGATCCGCCCGGCACTTCAGTTCCTGCACATGCTTCTTGGAGCCAATCAAGGGTAACTCCTCAAGGCCCTCTCCATTGGAAGTTGTTGTTAGTTTACGGAACAAAGAAACAGCTGTCCTTTTCTGTTCTCCAAGGTGAGGCATCAACTTAGCCAAACAGACCCAGGTGAGGGGAATTTGGCGGTGCAAATTAAGAACCTATAAAAAACAGAACCAGGGGACCAAAGATTTAGCTCAGCAGCACAACACCTGCCTAGCAAGCACAAGATTGAATTCGATTCCAGGTTAAACCTCCCTCCCCGCAGTTCCACCCAGTATAATAAACACTAAAATTTTTGAGCCAGGGTATTTAGTACCTTGATTCCACACAAGTATAAGTTTTACAAACAATCGGAAAAGTCGCATCTCAATTTACAACTATGGCTGTGCTTGCCAGACAGGTAAGGAAATTTGTGTAAAGCAAATGGTAGCACAGGTGCAAACATGGGAGTCAGGCATGCATCATAGTGTTAGCTCTGTGGGGCCGACGAGGAGGAAAGGGCAGAATGCTGGTTTCACAAAGTCCAAAACAAAAGCCCCACACCCTCGGAGAAATTCAGGAGTTTATTGGAAATAATAATAATAATAATAATAATAAAAAGATTGAGCCAGGGATACAGCTCAGCAGCACAGCATCTCCCTGGCAAACACAAGGTCATGAGTTTGATTCCCGGTACCTCAAAAAACAAAAAACCACAAAACACAAGTTAAGAAAAAGCTTGTAGTGTCTATCAAGAGGGAATTCCAAACACAAGTCCAAACTCTGTCTCCTTGAGCCGAACTCAGGAAGATTGAGGGGGAAAAAAAGGAAAAGAAATTTTAAAAAAACTGTTATTTTACATTTCTAATAGTTCTCAAAGTCAGCTGTTAACTAGCATTCTGGGTAAGAGGCAGAGTCCCATTTTTCTATTTTTCTAAAGGTACTCTAACCTTCTCTCTCTCTGTGTCTCTCTCTCTTTAACATTTCTACTAAGCTTAGCTGCTTGAATCACATCTTTAAAAGGTGGGGATGTTTTCCTTTTATTGACTGTATCATTACGCCGCTCTACTTGCCCACTCATAATAACCAGACTACTACACTGTTTCAAGGCCATCTGATAATTCGTGCTACAAATTCTAAACCGCAGACGAATTTCCAGATTTAATCCCTAAATGCATTCCACAAGAACATCCTCCGATACCATGTCTGCCAGTCAGCCTGAACACGGACATCGCGCTGGTCCCCGGAGTTCAAGCCAGCAGGTAACAACAAGCACAAAACACTTGAGCTCTCAAACGCCTCTCGTCAGCCCCTAACCCTTCTCCGGCGTCAAGAGCGCCGCAACCGCCGGTGAGGCCCCAGCGCCCGCTCCTCTCTGGCCTCCCGGGTGGCCTGCGGGTCTCCCTACTGCTCTCTCTGCCGGGATCCCGAGCAGGGCGCCCCACGACCGGGCGGACGAGCGCCAACCTCCTGGGAAGCCGCCCCTGCCCCCTCCGCGACTCTAGACCGCGGCGACACCTTTACGTCTCAGCCTGCCAGCGGGCGACCAATAACAACCCGGCTCCCAGCTTGACTTTACCTGTCTGGCGAGCATAGCCATAGCGAAGAGTCGGCAATGGCGCCGGAAGTAGCGCTTCTTCCGAGCCCTCACTTCCGGCGCCCGGTCCGTCTGTCTTCCTCTCCAGCCCCGGCGCGGGGGCGAGGGTCCAGCGTTCCGGACACGCGTGCAGCTGCCCAGCCGCACTCGCGGGCGCCTAGGTTTCCGGTGGCTCGGTGGCTGCATCGCCTCTTTCCCGCCTCGTAGAACTTCCCCGGGAGCATGGAGGGGCGCTGCGGACCACCCTTAATTCCCTGAAGTTAGGGCTGCCCGCCGCCCGGCCGTTTCCTGGAGCGCCGCACTGAAAACACCGGAGCGCCCAGATCCCGTATAAAATCTGTGCCTGACTTAACATCCGGCCCCAACGCCAAGCGAAGCCCTAACCGTTTTTAAAAACGTGACCCAGCTCATAAATATGACAGAAACCAGGGCGCGTTCCTCTTTTTGGCCAGAGCCTGGTTTCCACTGAGAAGGAAACAGCGCTGCCTCAGCCTATTGTATTCAAACTTCTCGACCGGTCCCGCGCAGCTGCCAGTGGAGGAAGACTGCGAACATCGCGCCCTGAGACTCCCCAGAAGGGGATGCTTCGAAGTCCTCATCCATGTTTGGCAGGGCCCCGGGGGATGGGCACCATGCAGACTGAGGCTAGATTTCTCTCTTGCTTCGGGATGTAGGATCCACAAATGCAAAAATTAAAAAACCTGGTGCTTCTTACACTGGGCAAGATGAAACAATTTATGCAATTCGAGGCTGGGTAACTTTATTAACAAAGCTGCTTTTTTTTTTTTAACGGATTTTCCAATTTTTATAAAAAAAATTATTTGAAGAGGATAAAACCGAGGAAAATAAAACAGAATAAAATCAATCAAAATAAACCAGTTTAAGTGATACAGGACTTCAAAACCTTACGAAATTAACAACACTTGCCCTTCTGCCTTTTTTTTTTTTAAAGAAAATGAAACAAAAAATACATGGAGATAAAAAAGGGTAGAAATAATACAAAATTACAGAAAAACAAACAGTAAGAAATCGCTGGTTGATAAGTTACATATTGTCATCTTAGAAATAGCTGTTCAGGTTACAAAATTAAAGTATTTAGAATGACATTCAAAAAGTGACACTACAAACAGTTCTGCTCAATGATCAAACAAAAACCATATTAACAAAGCTGCTTTAATTTGGAAACTTTAATGAAATCAATTAATGAAATGGGTTATTTGGCTACCATAAAAACTATGTGTATACACAAAAACAATAAAATACTATTCCTTTCAGAGGCACACAAATCAGAAACCTTTTTATAGTATACTATAAAGTATATACTTTATAGTATATAAAGTAATTATATACTAGAATGCTTTTCAAGATCACAAAAAACATGAGTTCCAAGTCCATTTTATAAACTTCAAAAAAAAAAAAAAAAAAAAACATAGTACCACTGGCTTTTGCTCTAGCACCTTACCAAACTTGCACCTGAGTTTATACAAAGTGAATTGGACCAGTTCTTGACAATTTACTTTCTCCAAGTGGAAGGGTTTTCCAGAGTAAGTGGAGATGAGCTTCCAGAAGCCAGAGTTCAGCTGGCCAGTGGAGAGGGGTCCTCAGGACCCAAGCAGTGCTGGCTGCTGGGAGCCTCTTCAGGGGCAGGGTGTGCCTGGAACTCCGAGCCTGCTTCACTCAGGCTTCTGCTGCCTGTCCTGTGCTGCAGACTGGCAGTGGACAGTAGGCCACTCTCTGAAAGAGAAAAAAGACACTGTGTTGTGTGCAAACAAGAATCGGTGGAAGATTTCAGAAATCCCGCTGGCAACAGATCCTTTTAAGGAGTGCGGGGATTCTGAGCCCAGAACCAGTCAGCTGTCTGCCTGCTTTGTGCGGTGGTTCTGTCTTGAGCCAGAAGCTTTGTCTGAAAAGCTGCTCCCCACCACAAGCCTAGAAACAGCATGTGTGGCCGCACCCCACTGGCAGCTGCATTCCTCTGACTGTCCACCTCATGGCCTGCTGAGGCTTCCACAGGCCCTACCCTCCTTCCAAGCCTACAGCCACACTGAACCAGAGGCACCCACGGCCTCTGGCATAGAATCAAGCCCTGACTCTTGTGTCCAGGACAGCAGGAAGAAGCCTCACCCTGGAAGGTAGCCTGGCTTCCTGCCCATTCCAAGCAAAACCACACAGGAAGGGTGGGAGCGGAACCTCTCACCTGGCTTGCTGATCCTACACACCTCCTCCCAGGTATACTGAGCAAGGTTCACAGGCTGCGTCACCCATGGGTCTGTCACCAGCTTTTCCAAAGTGGTGCGCTGTCTGGGGTCAGGATGCAACAGCCCAGACAAGAGGCTCATGAGTTCTGGGAACATAAAGAATACAGATCAGAGGGCCTCACTGGGATCAAGGGCAGCAAGCCTCAGACCCACAAGGTCTCAGCTGCCCCACTCCTCAGAGCCTCTGACAGAGCAGGGGACAGCTACGAGTCCAGGCTCTGGAGCCTGGCCTGATAGTCCTCAGGGAAGGCCTTCAGATAGCCTGTCTCCTCTGAAACAAAAGCTTGGAGTTAGAAATCCATCATACTAAGTCCCAGATGGTCCAGAAGTCCTGAATACCCAGGGTGGGCATGGCAGCTGGGATGGGGAGCCACTGGCTAGGGTATCCCCAGATCAGCCTGTGGGAAGCCTGAGGACTGGAAGCCTTGGGTTTGGATTTGGGCCTCCAACAATGTGGGGTCAACCCAACCAGGGCTGCCTGAGCCTCCCTGTCCAGGGCCCCATCCTGCAAGTTGAGTGAGAAAACACATGCAATAGCCTCTTTGAGTGTTCTGCCACACGGCTGCAGTACCTCAGCAATCCAGAGCTTCAGCAAACATGTGTTTCCAGGCTGAGTCAGCCCCCAAGCATGTACACTGAAGCCCAGTATATCCCATCCGATATAACAGGATGGGAAGGAGGGTCACTGGGAGAGTTTTAGGACTAGGCGAGCTCCTGAGGGAAGCACCACAATGGGATTAACAACCTTAAAGGCTCCCTCTCTGTTCGCCATGTGAGGGCCTTCAAGCTGGCTCCCTGACCTTGGACTTCCAGCTCCTGGAACTATGAGAGTACATGTCTGTTGTCTCAAGCCCCTGCCTGTGGGTTCCATGGCAGCAGCCTGAGCTACAGACAGAGGCTTCCATCCTAAGCAAAGACTCCAAGGCACAGACTCTGCCTGAAAATGCTTGTTACCTCATGGCTCTCAAGGTGACTGTGATGGAACTACATGGTGTCAGATGGGAAGGGCCCAAGGCTCCTGCCAGCTCTGTGGGCTCCTCAGGCTTAGGAAGCCTTTCTGGCCATGGAGCCCACATAGGCCTCCCCACACGAATCCTCATTCAAGATATAAACCACTCCCAGACCCAAGGAGAGCTGAGTTTCCAGCTGTCACAGTATCCATGGAGGTGGGGGTGGAGTCACAGTGTGACTAACGTCCTAGGCTTCCACATGAGCTAACTATAAAGTCTATTGCTCATAAGAGGACCTGGAAGGCTCTAGGGATACCAATAAAAACTCAATCATCGAGATGTTTTAAAGTCACATTCAAATTTTTCTTATGTTCAGATCAAAGAATTAAGAAAAAGAAAAGTGAGTGAGGTCATTGGTATGGACAGAGAGGGAGGAGAGGGAGCTGAGAATGGTAGCGCCTGCCTATAATCCCAGCACTCAGGAGGGTAAGGCACGAGAATCACCATGTGTTCGAGGCCAGCCTGGGCTACACAGTGAGTTCAAGGCCAGCTTGGACTATATAGTGAAACCCTGTCTCAAAAACCAAAAAGACCAGTGCTCACCTTGGGACACCAGGTACGGGGGGTGGATGGTGGCTTCCATGGTCTCCTCCACCTCACAAAAGGGGTTCTCCTCGAAGATCAGCGTGTACAGTGTGACACCCAGGGACCACATCTCCAGCTCTGGTCCCCTGTAGCTGTCAGGAAAGGAAAGGACATCTCAGGACTCTTGACGCCCAGCACCATCTCACTCCAGCCCCACAATGTTGCTGAGCCTGCCCAGCCAGCCATGCACTTCCAATGGACTACAGATGTGAAGGTCCACTCAGGTCTTCCTGGGAACAGAGACCTCAGTGGCTCAGGAATCCTCATGATTTGGGAAAGCTCAGCTTCCCGCAGGAGATATAAAGACTGAGTAGGGACAGCAAATTGCTCAGCCACCCTGGGGTCTCAGGAGCCACAGGCAGCATCAGAACAAGGTGGTATGTCTGGAGCAGAAACTCGGCCAGTCAGAAGGCAGCACCAGGCAAGGGACAGGTAGGCTGGGGGTAACTACAGGAGGAGCAGGCCTGGGGAGAAGATGGGGCCATGGTGGTTACTTCCTGTCATTGTAACCTTCAGCCAAGCCCCAGCTCTCAGGTGGTATAACTCTCACCCATATCCAGCAGGATAGGGTGGTCTTCACTCTACAGGCTGTGTGGGGGAGCTATTGGACGGGGCCTGGACTCAGGCAACTCACCCAGGGCTGCCAGGGCTGTGGAGGAGGCAGAAACCAGGCAGCTAAACATGGAGAAGCAAACTGGGCAGGTGGGGGTAGGGAGGCCTGGGGGTGGGGGAGCACTGCAGGTTGCAGTTAGCACAGAGGGACCAGGAGGGCAAGAAACTGCGGGAGCTGGAGCCTGAAAGTAAGTCAGATGCCTGTCTTTGTGTTATTTCTGCTTTAGAGAGGAAGATTTCTAGGTGTTAAAGAGAAAGGTCCACTAGACCAAACGTGTTGGGAAACTCTTTCTATAATGGGTTAGATAATAAATGATTAGCCCTGCGGGTTGCATGGTCTATGCCACCTACTCAGCTCTGCCTCGGTGGCACAAAAGCAGCCTCTGACAGGAGGAAAGCAAAGAAACTGCCCAAGTTCCACTTCCGGAAACCACATTTCCCACAACAGCCGACAGGGGGCAGCAGCTCCAGCCTCCACCAACAGCCATGACAACAAAAGTGCGACCTGGACACACAAGGATCCGGGAGCCCTGGGAAGAGGGTGTTCTGCCCCACAGTGCAAAACAGGTAAGCTCCAAAGACGTCACACTCAGTGAAAGAAGCCACGCAAAAGACACCACCATGTGATTCCATTATATGAGGGCCCTGGAACTGTAAGATTCCCACAAACAGAATACAGAACAGAGCAAGGTGTGAAGCCATACGCCTCTAATTCCAGCATTCTGAGAGGCTGAGGCAGGAGGACTACCAATTTAAGCCCAGTTTAGGTAACTCACCAAGATTCTGTCTGAAAATAAAAACTAGAGGCAGCCATGCAGGTCACCAGGAGGTGAAACAAGAAGCCAATTCATCCTCCCCATGAGACAAGAACACCATGCCCCTGGCCCCTAAGCAACCGGCTGATTTGAAGGAACACAGGCTGAGTTATTAGCAAATGAGATACAAAAACAACTTAATGCTCGTATTGTTTGATTGACTTTGCAGGCCTAGAGTCAGTAGTCTGAGCATCTATTCAGAGGACAATATGTAATATAGCAACTATGGGGGATTTCTTTGTCTTGTCTTTGAAATCCAATATTGTTCCACTGTTTTGTTTTCTTCTTATTGTATTGTTTTATTCAATGTTCTGTTTTGCTTGGTTTTATTTTGTTCTGTTTTGATTTTGTTATGTCTGATGTTTAATATTACGGGCAGCAATTTTGAAGATAACAAGAGCATTATGGTAGCTAGTGTTAGTTTTCTATTATCCTGTCTTGAAATCCTGTATAACTTTTGCTGTTTTGTTTTGATTGGCTCTATTCTGTTTTATTTTGTTTGGTTTTTATTTCCTTTAAAATTAAAATTAAAAACTACAAAAAGTGTGGGAATTAGCCCAGTACAAAGCTCCTGAGTTCAATCCCCAGTAAGGAAGGAAAAACGGCAAAGAAAGCCCAGTAGTGTGGTGGTTAATGGGTGTGGAGGAGCTCAGTGTTTAAGGAGTATAGAGGCTCAGTCTGGGAAGATAGAGTTTTGTGCTGGATGGCAATGGCTGCACAACAAGTGAGTGTACTAGATGCTGTTGCACTGTCTGCTTCAGAAGTTTGAGTTGTTATGTTTGCTACCATAACAAAAGATAACATTAAGCAGCAGGCTAGATTTGGACTAGGGCCATAGTTTTTGACCTACCAATTTAGTGAGACCCTGTCTCAACTGAACAAAAATGGATTAGGGATGTAGCTCAGAAATAAGGTCCTAAGTTCAGCCCCTACTACCAAAAAAGGATGGAAGAATTGTTCCTAAGGATGAGATCTGAAACCAGAATCAGAACTCAGAAAGCCTTCTGCCAGCTGGGTGAAGTGGCATAGAACTGTAATCCCAGCTACTCCCAAGGCTGAGGCAAGTAGATCTCAATTTAAGAGCGCAACCTGAGCAACACAGTAAGATCCCTTCTCAGGAAAACAAAACAACAATAAAAGTTCCTGTAAGAAAGTGCCATGCCTGGTCAGATGGGGCTAGGACAGGGCTGGAGGAAGTGGGGGAACTCAAGGACAAGCCTCTGGCTTGGAGCTGAGAGCAAGGCTGCTGCCTGTATTGCTGGAGAAGGGACAGAAGCAGGGCAGGGAAGGCCTCAAGACAGGCTGGATAAGGAGGAGGCCACTGAGCAGCATTAAGCTGCTGGCAATTGGGCCCAGGCAGCAGGACTGGCCATGAAGCACTCGCCACGGGCCAGCAGCCAGTAGACACAGCTCCCCTCCAACACCAAGGACCACTGTAGTGGCCACTGTAGAACAGGGGAGTGCCGTCCACACTCACTGGGTACAAGGAGAACCATGCCAGAGCTGAAGAACCCTGAGGCCCACCTCACCCACACCCCAGTGTTTCTCCCTGTGGGGGCCCCAAGAGCATGGGGACTGGACCAGGAGGCGATTTACTGTGCAGCTGTTAACATCCAAGGTCACACAGAGGCTGAGAAGCCACGCACCACCTGCCAGGAAGTCTGCAGTGCACTGAGCACCAGGGTTTTGGGAACAAGCATTTCCTGGCTCCAAGATGAAGGACCCTCATTTGGCCCTGGTCACATCCCTACCATCCCAGTCACGCAGAGGTCTCTCATGAGAGCTGAGATCCGGCACAAGGACAGCAGTGGCTTCAAGCAGACCCTGTACACTCCTGTCATTACAACCAACAAATCAGTACTGGAAGTCTTTCTCTTACTGGAGAGCCCTCATCTTTGCCTTTTCCTAACTTTCGATTATGGCAAACTCCAAACATAAAAGTTGAGAGAAGCATAGGATGAATCCCAGTGTCTGCTGCCTGGCTTTCCATGACCAATCTTATTTGCCTGTTTCTCCACTTTTCTCCACAACATTACCCTTCTCACTCAACACCTTCACAAACTAAAGCCATCTCGCCTCAGAATCAAACCAGCAAGAGAAGTGAGCACACACAGCAATTATGTGATACATACGGATTCCCCATGAGAACTTCAGGGGCACAGTACTCGATTGTCCCACAGAACGTGTAAAACAATTTGCCCCTTTCCAAGTAAGCAGCTGAGCCGAAGTCGATCAGCTTGATAGTGAAGTCCTCAGCAATCACAATGTTCTCGTCCTTGATGTCCCGGTGAATGATGCCTTTTGAGCGCAGGTACCCCACTGCTGACAACAGCTGGAACCAGAGCCAGGGCAGGCTTTTCAAAGAGCAATTAAGTAAAACATGCATCTAAAATAAACAACATCCCTTCATCCTCCTCTAAAAAAGGGGGGGTTAACTTTTTGTCTATGCATGCCAACAGTACTGTCAAAACACTATCAACTCTTCTGTTTGGCCTGTTCTTCTGTTTGCTACTGTGTATTAAATTTTTTAATTAAAAAATAAAATACATAATGACAGAAAAAACAGACGTTTTCCAATGCATAAGTCTGGATGCTGGAGCTCTGATTTTGGACAGAAGATGGCCCCACAAGAATCTCAAGTGAAGAATGAGACAGGCCATAAAGCAGATGTAAAGAAACACAGTTAGTTCGGGCCTCTAGCAGGTGACTCCTGAGGTCACCATAGAGATTTTCTGCACTATAAAGTCTCAGACGAAACCTTCCACAAACTGAAGGAGGCAAATACATCTTCCAACACAGGAAGAGGGAGATAGGGGACATTCTTCTGGCATAACCACGAAGCCTGAAACTCATGAAGGAGGTGCCTAAGAAACTCATTATCAGAAATCCAGTAACTTCTGGAAGTTTATACCTTTGAGGGAACCTGTCACCAAGAATCAAGTCATTTACAAGAAACAACCAAAGGACAAAATAAAGCCCTTTTCTGGTAATTTTTCCTCCCTTGCCAGGGATCTGGGAGCAGTCTACAGTGAAACCACCCCTCTCCACATGACTCAAAGTGACAGCTATTATGCCTTCCCACCCTCCCTGTTCTAGGGTGCCTTTCTGCCCTCCTAATCACTCTCTTACTCCAATAAAGTATCAGTGGACAAAGATCAACACATAGTTAGACACAAAACAGATCAAGTCAATTACTGAGAAATGAGACCCCAGTCTCATCTTGCTGCTTAATTATGGCACTTACACTGTGCTGTATGCCTGTCTTAGGGGCACTCTCTGGTTTAACCCTAACCCTTATCATGTAATACAATAATGATCCAACTGCACAGATCAGAAGGTTGAGGACAGCACTGATTTCCCAAGGTCTCATAGATATGGAGACAAGAATTCATATCAAAATCACAGAGCTCACAGCTCTGCATTGGTTAATACTTGTAATGGATTCAGCCACTTCACTTATATAAATAAATCTTAATCACTAAAAACATTTCTTGCTCATTGCAGGATGGTATCTGGCTTCTGCTTCCCAACCTCACTTTCTCCACCTCAACCACAGAATTCTCTTCTCAAATTGTGTCTCACCTGTCAGATGCCAACGCTGAAGGCTAAATCCACTCACAGAGACCCAAGCCTGCACTGCTGATGCCTGCAGCCACAGGCTGAACACCCAAGGCCACATTTGACCTGCACACCAGCCCATCTCACCTGCCGGAAGATGTGGCTGGCCAGGGGCTCATCCAGGCTGGGGTGCTGGTCAATGAAAGCAAAGAGGTCCAGGCCGGAGCCATGCTTCTCCATCACCAGCTGGAAGAACCCTTGGTTTTCAAACACATCCACTACCTAGAAAAGACAATGCTGTGGGCAGCATAAGTGCCTGCCTGGCAAGCGCAAGGTTGTGAGTTCAATCCCTGGTTCCAAAAAAAAGAGAGAGAGAAAAAAAAGAACACCTTGTCCAGCTTGGCTGAAATATCTTCAGTCAGCAAATTATACAAATTTTACAGGGACAGAGTTGCATAGGAAACCACCACCTACCTTGATGATGTTGGGATGCTCCACGTGGGACAGAATTGCAATTTCTAAAGTGACTTTTCCAAGTTTGGTGTCCTCAATCCAACAATCCTCCAAAACTTTCTCCTTCTTAATAAACTTCACTACCACCTTCAAAGGAAAGAAGAGTAGGAGAACCAGTTCTGACATGACATCAGTCCCCCAAGTCATAGAATGCCAAGGCCACGCATCCCACAGTAAGTGCTGAGGCTCACTGGGGAGGAGGCCACACAGACACTCAACACACCCAGAAGGGCACCTGGCACCCAGCAAGCATGGGCCACACACAGTTATAAATACTACACACAGGCCATCCAGCGGCTGCGAAGGACATCTATGGTTAGTGTGCTGTTTTGTTTGTTCACTGGGAACTTTTTTCCAGTTGAGCAGAGATCTAAGTTCAGCTTTAAAAGTGAACTTGTGGTGCCCACAGGCATCACAGCAGGCCACGGGGGCAGCAGGAGAATGGTACACACCCTGCGCTCAGAGAGCAGGGATAGAAGAGACAGACAGAGCCTTGACATGGACCCTGCCAGGGCTCAAGTGTCTGTGGCAGCAAGGTCCAAATCTGAGATGTGACAAGATTGCTGCCTGTGGGTGTCAGTGGGTGTCCAGCCAGAAGTGCCCTCCTTGGAAACAGAAACTGCCCACATGCCAGGTTGAGACCTAAGTGCTCCCTTCCTAGTGACAATCTAGGATTCTGAGAGCCTGGAACTCAAAGTTGGGCCTCCTTCCGAGCCTTAGAGCACCTCCTTGTTCTGCTCCTTGTCCATGGCGATCCACACAAAGCCGAAGGCCCCGCTGCCGAGTGGACGCAGGGTGATATACTTGCGTGAGTACTCGCCCTCACAGGCCGCCAGTCCCTCTAGCTCCATAGGTGTGGGAGCCTCCTCAGCCCAGGGCTTGGTTCTGAGCACCTGTGAATAAGAAGGAAAGTCTGTGGTCACATGCAATGGAGGCCAGGGGGCATCATCACCCTGAACCCTGCAGGGCAGCACCCTCACCCACCCTGATTTCCTCTGGTGCCACAGGGAGTGCCCTGGGACATGTCCCAGGGTCTCACTATGCACACAGTGTTCATGCAGATTTAAAATCCTACATCTGCTTTATCCTCACACAGGACACTAGAAAGTGGCATAACAAAACCACAGACAGTGGGCTGGGGATTAGCTCAGTGGCGTAAGCACCTGTCTGGCAAGCATAAGGTCTTGAGTTCAATCCCTGGTACCAAAAAAACAAAAACAAAAACAAAAACCACAGACAGATCCTCCTCCCATTCTGGTAGACACCAATGCCAGCAGGAAAAGCTGGTGTACACAGCCTGAGCAACTTGATACCCACCTCCCCGAGACCACGTCCTGAGGGATCGGGCATGGAGTGGGTGGAGCTGGGCAGGCTGGCGAGCAGCAGGCGGGTCCTGGTGGCAGAGCTGCGGTGGCTATGCAGTAGATCCTTTACCAGCCAGCAGCAGAACAGGCTCACAGGGCCCTGGAGTTCCACCAGCTTCACCTCAAAGCATATGCCTGGGGATGAAAGGTGAGACAGCACCGTGCCAACCCTGACCCCACTGGGTGACAGTGTTGAATCCAAAGTCTGCCACTCAGAACAGCCTGAGGACCACCCAGCAGCCCAGGACAAGGGGAGAAAAGCCCTGAGCACATCAGGGAGACAATCACCAGAGCTTTGATGCAACCAGGAGTCAAGAGCCAAGGATGACTGCAGGAAGCTGCTGGCCACCCCAGCTGAGAAAAGCCAGGATGGAGCATCCCTCCTTCTTCAGGGGCAGGAACTGAGCAGAACCTGAACAGCTATGTACTGCAGTTCTGCACAGCCATACTGAAAACCCCCACCTCCCCACCCCTGCACCACTATGAGGTACTAGTTCTTCTGTGTATGTGTGTGTGCTCCTTCCTGGAGCTACCCTGGTATATGGGATCTGCTTTTTGGCAGAGGGTTCAGAGCTAATTTCATTTTTGTTTATGTTTTCTAATAGTTACACAAATAATATTACCTATGCAGGGTTTTTTTTTTTCGTCTTTTTCATTTTTATCAGTACCGGGGATCGAACTCACAACCGCCTGCTTGCAAGGCAGGTGCTTATGCCGCTGAGCTAAATCCCCAGCCTCGCAGGTTTTTTTTTAATTCAGGAAAAGAACTATAACATTCAACGATTCAAAATTAGTGATGTAAGAACGGCTGGCCAAAAAAAATATGGCCCTGTTAAGAAATGAGGAAAGCAAGACAAACCAAACCAACTTGGTCCTCCCGCCCTGTATAGAGTGAGGTTTTGGAGAGACCCAAGCAGCTTCACTCCCAAAGCATCTGATGAGCAAGGAACAACAATCCTGGCTTCTCAGTGTGACCTGGGAGACAGACCCAAGAGTCGTGCTGCCCAGCATTTCTGAGCCTGGCGAGGTCTCCCTGGCTGTCAAAAAGAGTGGTCTAGGAGGCAGAGACAACACATGATCCTTTAACAAAGCCATTCAGAGCTCCTGCAGACCCCAGGGCTAAGGCATCCCTGACCCTGCTGTGCTGGGCTCTTGGGGTCATATGCCCTCCCCCAGGGCCAGGGACATACTCAGCCACAAGCCATCTCGGTGGTAGCAGTACCCTGAGTAGGTGCCCTCCTGGATCTCCCGACACAGGCTGGCAGCCCCAGGTTTCACAGGAGTAGAGGTGACCCAGGCACTCAGCTTTGGGTCCTCTGCAGAGGCCCGTGCATCCTCCTGGCTGGCATCCATAGCAGGAAGTTCTGAGCTTTGTGAGTTACTCATTTTGTAACGTTCAGAGGCCAAGTCCATCACAGGCAGTTCTGTTGAATCATGTTCCAGGTTGCTCTCCTGGGACCCTTGGCCCTCCCCAAGATTGAAATAGGTGCCTGTCAGTAGTAACCGCTCTCGGTCACCAAAAGCACCTGGCCTCTGCTTGTGCAGTGTGTGCACATTGAAATCAGAGCTCACCGCCGAAGGAGAAGGTGAGCCCCCAGGTTCAGATGTGGTATAGGAACAATTGGAGGAAGTTCCATCGGTGTCGTCACTGAGAAGGAGCTCCCTAAGGTTCCAGGAGTAAGAGTTCATGGCAGCCTCCCGGGCTTCCACCAACTCCAGGGCATCAGGGAGGTCGGTGGCCAAGGCATAGCAGGCAGAGGAGCTGCCCAGGTGGCTGCCACAAAGGTCTCTTCCCTCCAGGCTGCTAGACAGGGAGGCAGTATAGGGATGGTGCTCTGTGGGAACAGACTCCAGGCGGGAGACACCCTCAAAGCTCAACCTGGACAGCTGCTCCTTAACCAAGCACACCTGCAGCTCTTCATGGCTGGCTCTCCTTCCTGGCCATGGCTCATCCAGGGTGGGTGTCCCAAAAGAGACACAGGCCACCCCTGAGTGGCCTGGCGGCCAGGGGAGCCACTCGCTCCTATAAGCGGGGCAGTAGGTCAGGAGGTCCCCTCCTGCTGGCTGCCCTGCAGCATGGGGCTCAGGCCTGCTGGCAGCTGTCAGTGCCCACTGAGCCTCCTGATGGAGGCTCCCCATTCCAACATTGCTGCACTTGTCCTCAGGTGGGACTGGAGGGTTGGGTTCTTCACAGGAAACAAATGGTTTTGTGTCCGCCGGTTCTGACCCGCTTTCTCCCAAAAGATCCTGTGGGGAGCTCTGTGCTACTACAGGCCCCACACTCCCCAAAGCAGTGTCCTGCTGGTCCCTGGGCAGTGTCCTCACACTGAGGGCTGGAGGGCTTCCGTCTTGGCTGTCCTGAGGGTCCTTGCGCAACAGCCATTCTTCGTGGGTAGGTGGGCTTTCCTCTGAGACATCCTGCTGGTTCTCAGATGGGGACTGTTTCTCATGGGCCAGCACATGCTCCTCTGGAGTACTCTGCTGGTTTGTAGGTAGTGATCGTTTGTCCTGGGCCAGTGGGTACCCGTCCAGGACACTATCCTCCCTGGGAACAGGGATTCAGATGACAGTGTCACTAGCGGCCACAGAAGAGCCAACAATAAAAACCGAATTGACTCCCCTCTAGAGACAAATACACACCCCATCACGCCACTAAGGTAAAAAGCAACAGACTAAATTTTATAGCCCAATTAAAAAACAAAACACCTCTCCAACATTTTCCATAAAATCCAAGCCACCTACTGGCTACACCTCCAAGTGCACCACCCAGCAGCCACCCTGGTCTGGAAAAGACCCGGCCCTGGGAATACACAGGATCTGGCACGAATGAGCCCTGGACGGCTCTCTCCCAACTCCTTCCTTGACTGCTAATGCACTCACAGCAAGGAGAGCTGGGGTGTGAGCTGCTATACTGTCCAAAGCACACCCCACAGGCAGACAAGAGCAAGTTGGGGAGTCAAGGTAAATAAAGGAAGCACTTGCCACAGACCAGAGCAACAGTGCCATCTAGGAGGGCCTGGTCCTTGGGAAGACCATCAGACGGGAGGCAAGTACGCAGACCCCAGCCTTGCCACAGGAAAAAAAGCCCCATGCGTCCATATATGCGTATGCATCACACATATACACATGCAATCGCACATCAAGATAGGTCTAGGAGGTGCTAATGGCACAGCTGTGCCCTCTGGAAAGTGTGGCTATGGAGCAGGAGGTCAAGAGAGGGTGAAGGGATTCTCATTTTATCACTGTTAAAGCAGAGTTGGGGTGCTTCAGAACTCTAAATGTGCTGAAAAACACATTTGTGTGTTTTAAAAGCAGTTTCTCAAATGAGCTGAAAATCACAACAATGTGAGTAAATCTCACAGCTGTAACAGAGAACAGAAGAGGCAGATAGAAGGGACAGCACACAGGAAACTTGCAGGCAGGACTGTGACTACAGCTCTGTGCCCAGGGGCCAGGGCCAGAGCATGAGGGAGCCTGTGGGGCTGGCACAGGAACACGTGCACAGTATGGACATGAAAACAGTGCTCTAAAAAGAAGAAAAAAGAAAAAAAAAGAAGAAGAAACCTAGAACGAAACACACCACAATAGTAGGCACAGCAGAACAAAAGAGTTTCTGATTCCCATTTTTTCCAAATCACCTTACTTAAGCATCTCATGCTCCTAACTAGGACACTGTACTTCACTTACAATGCAGAAAGAGAACAGCATGGAATGGTTCTCAAAATTCTAGACAGCCACTGCCAGTTCTCCGACATCTGCCTCAGCGTTGCTGCACTCAGTATCCCACTTCCTGGCCCACAAGCCACAACAGTGACATGGGCCCCCTTCACAGAGGCCATGAAGACCAAGCTGGAAACCCAGGGTCCTGTCCTTGAGAGTGGACACAGCAGTATCCAGGATATACCAGCTGCTACTGTCCTCACTAACCCAAGCTCAACGTGTCCTTCCCCACCAGTCATCGCCCCAACCTTCCGCACCACGACCACCCTCTCCCAAGACTCACCCTGGAGAGGACCCTGGGGAGCAGGTGGCTGGGAGCTGGCATCCAGTTTCTAGCTGCGTCTGCATCCCACCAGCAATTCCTTGGCTTCCCACTGGCTTCTGCATTATGTCTGGTGGCAGCACACAATGACCAGCAAGCACTGAATCAAACTTTGGATCTAACAGCAGTGCCAGAAAAGAGCATTTTACACTCACAGGCACTTGGGCCTAAAGGACCCTTCCTGGGGCCGGTGCTGAACCTCACTTCTATAGACACCTGCACTCCAGCATGCAGAACAGTATTTGGGAGAGCACATCCATGACACCACTCTTCACATTTGTTTTGTTTTGAAGTCTGGGTCTCACTATGCAGTCCAGGCTGGCCTCCAACTCACTTTGATCCTCCTGTCTCAGCCTCCTGAGTGCTAGGATTATAGGCATGCACTACCATGCCTAGCATCTGTTGCCTGTCTCCCTGTCTCAGTGCCTTTGCTTCCCTACCCCTAAGGACAGCAAGCACCTTGCCCCATGCCCCTGCTATGCCCCCTGGCTCCATAGGCCCCACCAAAACCACCTCCCATGGGCCAGGACTTGGGGGTGGAGCTTGACCCAGCATGACAGGCCCCCTCCAAGCACAGCTGGCAGCCCCCTCTCTCTGCACCCAGCAACAACAAGGTGGACCCTGTGGGGCTGCCAGGAGAAGAGATGCTGATTCTGTGGGGTCCCTCCTGGTCCCTCAGAACAGGAGGCTGGGCGCTCACACTGCTTCCACAAGCCACCTGCTCATGACTGTTCGTGGAATTGAGACCCAGGAAGCCTCATCCAAATGACTGACAGTGCTCAATCAGCACCATCAGAGATAAGCAACAAGATCAGCACCTATGCTGGGAATGTTCCATGTAGGAACAAATCTGTGCTCTATCAATTTAGTCTTATGCACCATAAAAGTATGTAAACCCCTTTCAAAATGACAGGACTGTCAGCTACTAGTGTCTCAAACATGGGCACAGCTGACACCCACTTTCTAGTCCCTTCCTCTGTGCTGATACTTCTGTAAGAATAGCCCTCCACTGCCATGGCCCCTGAGGAATATCAAGTCAGGTCAGCCACCTGTCCTGGGGCTCTGGGGCCTGCCCTCTGGTGTATCATAGAACTGGGACTGGGCATGCTGGGGAGCAGGAGGCTGCGTCTCACCCTGGGAGGTGTCCAAGGTCATCTCCCCATGTCCATTCTCACTGCTGAAGTCTAGACAGCTACTAGGATATTGTGAAGAGCTGTCATAGGTGATGTCCATGTAATGGTAGAAGCCAGGAATCAGGAAAGTAATTTTCTAGGAAGCAGAGTTGGGGTGCTTCAGAACTCTAAAGGAGTGCCCACTCCAACCCACAACTTGTCCACCTGGGGAAGGGTATGAGCTGTGCCAGCAACCTCCTGGCACTACACCCCTGAAGGTGTCAGGTTCCCCGTGACCAACCTGAAGCCCTGGGCCATTAGCCAGACCAGGAACCCTGGGAACAGGGCTCCTCACTGTCCCCTAGGAGACTAGGGATAGCCCAGGTGACTGCTGATATGAAGCCTAGGGAAATGACCTGGGTAGCTGTAGGCAGGGATCCCCCTCCCAACATGGGGCATGAGTGACACAGTCGTTAGGGACGGGGTCTGCAATGTCCACAGACTAGCTGCTAGGAGTGGACAGCGGGGTGGCAGCCACAAGCCCCACCTTGCCTAAGAGCTCGGTTTTTCCATAGCCGAACAACATCAGGGCAAAGTTGTGATTGATGCCGTAGATGGTGCCGTCAGGCAGAAGCGTGATGAGGCCGCTGATGGTGCAGAAAACCCACACGGATGCCCAGTAGCCCTGCTCGGGCACTGCCTCACCCTCCGCCGCCTCCCCATCCTGCTTGGGCTTCAGCTTCAGGCTCAGAGGGAAGGTGGTGCCATCTTTGGCTCTCCCAACAGACCTCTGAATCTTCAGATTCTGAAAGAGACCCCATACTTGTCACATGGACAGAACTGAGCTGTACCACCTTGGACTGCAGTTCTATCACCAGAGTCACAGACAGGGTCAGAGAGGACCCACGTGTAGGGGAATGAGGGAGGCTCTGGTCAGTTGCTACAGGCTCTGTGCCAAGCACAGAGCCTGCTGTGTGCTGGCCTCCAGGGGCTGTGTCTGTTACTCATCTATGCAGGGAGAGAGGTAGCATGCTGTGGGCCATCTTCAGTCACAAGGACGGTGGATCCCTGCCAGCTGGACAGCCCAAGTGGCAGCTGCCTCAGGACTAAGTAGAGGGTGCAGAATGCCAGCACTGGGGGCAGCAGCTGAGTTTCCCTGGAAAACATGACAATGGACCACAGGGGCTCAGTCTCAGGGGCTAAGTCTACAGGACCGTAGTCTGGTCACCCTGGAAGGACCACTCACTGTAGCAGGGCAGAATCAGTCTAGTCAGTGGTGTGATATCCTCCAGGTGTGGATGTGACATCAGTAAAGCCACAGCATTCAAGTCCCCTGCATGAAGGCCCACATTAGCTAAGAAAAGGGATATGGCCATGGGCCCCACCCCAGGCCTCTGCTCCATACCTGCTGTAGGACCCAGCCATGCTGCCTCTAAGGCTGTGGTGGCCCAGGGAGCCAGAAAGCACTGTGCTGGGTGTGCTTGTAAGGTACTCCAAGAGGAGGCTAGCATAGCTTAGCACCCTGAGGAGGGGACAGCCACAGCACAGGTGGCATATCCAGAACACCACAGGGGACAAAAGAACTGGTCATGTCCTGGAGATGGGATCTGTTCTCCCACCCTCGCCTCAGAACATTGGGAGCTGCCTTCACCTCAAGTGGAGCCATACGTAGGGAGCTAAGCAGGACCATGGACCTTGAGTAGAGGATCCCTCTCGGCTGTCCTGAGGGTCGAGTAACAGCCAGCCACCATCCCAGGGGTCCCAGCTTGGAGATGGGGCCTCTAGGGGACTTTACTGCAGCAGCATCATACAAGTAAACTCCCCCAATCTGCTCGTTTATCCATACACATCTATCCTACTGGTTCTGTCTGGGGAGGTCTAACCAACACCAGGGGAGACCCTGAATTAGCCAGCCCTCCCTGCTCCATTTGACAGAGGGGACAAGAGGAGTTGGCTGAAATCACCAGGCTCAAGCCTCCAGGTCAAGCCTCCAGGACAGTCTTGTGATCTGGTTATGGCGCAGGCAGCATGGGCTGTCATGGTCCTACCTCTGGGACAGGCTGGCCAGGAGAAGGGAGTCGCAGGGACGGGATCAGGTCTGTGATGTGCTGCCCAACCACATCCTCCCCAGACGAGAACCCATGAAGGTGAGCAAAGAGATCATCGCAGGATGTGATAGTTCCCTGGAGAAAAGGCCACACTGTAAGTGTTACAATAAAAGTGTCACACTCCTCAGTTCTGTTGCTAAATTTCAGTGTCTACAAGCTAAAAGCAAGGCCGTTTTCATGGCTTCCCAAATCAGAAGTGCAAGAGGCACACACACGTGCTCTGGAACAGTGTGGTCTCCCTCTTGTACTAGACGCGCAAACCGTTGGGCTTTGTCAAGGGCTGCTCAGATGCCCCGGCCACATCCAGGCTCTTCTGGACACCCAGATTATTCTGGATACAGCTGAGCACTATGTGCGATGCCTGCCACTGCTCTGAGGATTTCCCCTATATGATTTTAGCAAAATATAAAAACACCCTATGAGCAGTCAGATTTGGATTGCATTTTATAGATAAAGCAGCCGTGGCTTGAGTAATGAGCACACTTGGTTACTAAAGGACAGATGCCTGTGCTGCCTCCCCACAGGTGGGAGGCTGGGAGAGTGCTGGCTGAGGCACCAGTGCTGGGCTTCCTGGGGCTCCCCGAGGCAGAGCTGCATGCACCTGAGACTTGAACACATACATACTCACCTCACCCTGGAAGGCAACCCACGCAGAGATCCTCTCCACAGGCTCCAGGACCACCACACAGCACAGGCCGCGCTCCTGCCGCACCCTCTTCATCCACACAGAGACAGGAATCTTGTCCCCACTGCGGCTGACGATGTCCGCCTATGGACACAGGTGGCTGCTCCAGGTGTTGAGGACCCGTGTGCCCAATGCAGCCTGGTGACCCTCCCTGCAGCCGGCAGCCTCCCTTCAGACACTGCCCAAACATAAACTAAGCTTCTGATACCCAAGTTGCAGCCTCGGAGTGAATGCTTCATCAAGAGAGATGTTTTTCCAACCTCAGTGTGACAGTTCATTTTGGCTGTCACTTTGACTGGACTGAGATGCCCAAAAAGCTGGCAGGGCCCAGGTATGGGTGTCTGTGAGGGCATTTCCAGAGACACTCATCCTCCAGCAGTGGCCAGTGGTGGCATGGGGAAGCCCTGTCCTGCCTGGCCAGTGCCCTTTGTGGCAGAGGACCCGGGTGAGATGAAATACAGAAGGGAAGGGGGCTTACACGCACATATGGGGACTTTTCTTGAGCAGAGCCACTTTCTGCTGCAGCCATCACTACAGACATCACGCACTATACTCTGAGCACAGACTGGCACTAGCATGCATTTTGGGGCCCCTCAGCCTGCTGCCTGGGACTGAGGGTGCATTGCCAGGCCTCTTGCTCAAGGGCTTCCAGCTTCTTAGGCTCAGTAGCCACTGTTTCCCTCCTCCAGCTTGCAGATGACCTTTGTGGGACTATTTAGCTTCAGATTATATAAGCCAATGCAATATGCCATCTATTATAATTTCATATATATGTCATTGGTTCTATTCCTCAGGTGAGCCCTAGCCAACACACTGAGCTTTACAGCATGACAGAAGGGAAAGAAAGAAGTATCTGTTATTGTTAAACAGTTCAGAATCCAGGTTTAGCATTGTAGTTTCTTCTTCACAGTCATCACTCTTGGGCCAGTTACCTCCAGGTACAGCTGGCCCTGTCCAACTTCTTCCACCCTGAGGCTCAGGACTCACATCTAGTAACCAAGTGTGCTCATTACTCCGAGTCCACATCCAGGCTGGAGCCAGTGGCATAGGTGAGACAATCAACACTCTCCAGGGAAAGAGGCTGAGTCACTCCACCCATCCATCAAACAAATGGGATATTAGGAACTTTAGATGTTAGGAAGAGTAAGGGCAACACAATTATATGGCTTTTCTGGGAATCTGAGTGGTGCCTACAAATTTGCAAAACGGGGGCAAGCCTGGGTCCTCAAATGCAGCTCGGGGCTCTCCAGGGCACCTGCCCAGGTCAGTCCCACAGCAGTGTGCACCTGCTGTCACTGGCCTCCTCGAACCTCACAGAGGAAGCTGTAAAGCTTAGGTTGTTGGAGCCGCCACGCCTCAAACACAGTACAGCTCTGTGCAAAGCCTAGGAGGAGGAAGAGCCTCCTGCACCCTGTGCCACCTCAGCCATGGATCCTGGCCAGTGCCCTTCCATGCCTGCTCACCACTGTGCCGAACACCACTGCAGCGTGGCCATCAGCCTCCACATGCTCCTCACTGAGGGCTTCTGCCACCTCGGAGTCCGGCTGAACAAAGAACTGCACCAGCTTCTGGCCAATCAGGTCGTGGCTGCTGTACCCCAGGAGCCCACAGGCTTTGTCATTGGCCACCAGGATCTGAAAGAGCCCATAAGAGGAAGACACGGCATCACAGGAAGCTCCTCTAACTCTTGAAACAGCCAAGGAGGGCAGTCCAGGCCCCTCCCACCCGTGCCTCAAGCTCTCTGGCCAGAGTCCTAGGAAATGATGCATACACTGTACCTGGGTATCTTGACCTCACAGACACCAAACTTAGTCAGTGGTGAGTGCCCCTAGGAAGCCTTCCCAGCCATATGGGCATGTGACAATCAAGACTATGAGGGAACACAGGAGATCATGCTAAATTCCATTCCGGTCTGCTACTGTCAGCTATGTATCCATTAATGTGCATAAAGCAATTGCACCTAACAGAACTCTGAGCACCTCTCCCGACAGTTAGGCTGGTGACATCTCACACGTCACCCTCCCCTGCAGCCCCATCCCAGGAGTCAATTCGGTCTATTCAACTTATTCAGTTCTCTAAATTCTTATCCTTTTACTACTATGTAGGTAAAGCTAAATGTTCTTCTGATGCACTTATAAAACACACAAATTCCAGCCAGGCACAGTGATACATACCTGCAATCCCAGGTACACAGGAGGCTGAGGTAGGAAGACCAAACATTCAGAGCCAGCCTGGGAAACTTGAAAAGACCCTGACTCAATCCGAACAATAAAAAAGGCTGGACTGTAGCTCAGTGATAGAGCACTTGTGTAGCATGCATGAACTGCTAAGTTCAATCCCTACACCCAAACAAAACACACACACACACACACACACACACACACACACACACACACCTCTGTTTGAGGTTCTAGGTTTAAGGGACAAACCCCAAGTACACATCACAGCTGAGCCTCATGCCAAAGCCAATACCTCTGTGGTCTTGGCATCCACAGTGAAGATGGCCTTGTTGGGGTTGTACACAGGACCCGGAAGAAGAGGCATAGAGCATCCCGAAGACAAGCCACGCAGCAGGGAGCAGCAGGAGGCACTGCCCAGGGGTGCAGCTGGGTCCACATGCTCAGGCGCTGTGGGGCAGCGCACTCTGCCAGTGCAGATGTTCTGGGCAACCAGGGAAGAGAGGCAGTAGGAGCTCCATCTGTCTTCTGGGGAAGGAAGGACACAGCTGAGCCCTGGCACCACAGCCAGAAGTATGCTTCTGACAATGGGCGAGCTCACAGCCTGCGTGGTCATGGCTTTGGTTCATCTGCAGAGTGATTTGCATACCTAGACAGTGTCAGATACTTCCCAGCACTCCACATGAGGAGCTTCTGGCAGGCTCCCCTGAGATTAGATAGCATAAAAGAGACGAGATCCCGAGACTTCCCACAATGGTTCACTCTGTGTTTCCCAGGCATACTGTGTACTTTTATTTTTGCATTTATTTTTTTCTCTTGTTCTGCTCAAGTTTGCTCCACAGAACTGGTTTCTCCCGTACTCCTTCAACCAGTACTTTTCAAGTATACTTTTGGCACTGTTTTGGCTTGTCTCATCCAATTCTTTGTCCATGGTAAGAAAGACCTGGAATACTTTTGATTGGTGGGCCACTTCTAAAGAAAGCACTCAGTAACAAGCCCACTCCTATGGCACAGATCAGGAAACACTCTCGGAGCTTACAGGAAAACAGCCTGGCTCTAAACTGCACCTGGAGGTAACTTCCAACCTCAGCCAGAGGACACTGTGTGCCCAAGGTCTCAGTAGAAAGGAGAGGCAGCAGGAAAAGGTTGTTGTGTCCTTCCCAGCACAGCCAACCACCTCACAAAGCAATGATTCCTGCAAGAACTCAGAATTACTTAAGGGTGCTGGAGACAAAATAGTGACCCCACACGCTCGGCTTGCAAGGTGTCATACCTGAGAGTGCTATCCTGCTCTGGCAGAGCTTGGAGAGCCCATCCTTCCTGCTCAGGTGTCTTCGAGTCGAGAGCGGCTTGCTGGGCTCAGAAGCAGCCTGTGTGGATGGTCCCTCGGCAGGAGAAGGCACAGAGACACTGCCAGACTGGCACCTGCCATTCTCATTTACATCTGGGGGACTTGGGTCTTCCATGAGGAGCAGGTGGGCTGGATGGTGAGTCCTCACCTGGAAAAATAAGACCTGTAAATATCTGCAACACAAGAGCACAGGGCAGTTTAGCCAGCGAACTGAACACTGAGTTAAGCTCAGCTCTAAAAGACACCCACACCAACTTGACCAATGAGAGCTGCTCTAAAGAAACTCCTTCTGAGGAATACAGGGAGGTAAACTAAGTGAGAAGGAAAAAGAGGTCAAAACTAAATGAGGGTTGGGAGGAGCCCAGAAGGGAAAGCAGGTCCACAGGAATAGAAAGAACTCCAGGTCCACAGTGCTATATACAGCCTACAGGCGTCGCCACTCACTCTTCTCGGACCTACTGCAGCGGCGCACAGGTCGTGGGCTCTCTCCCCTCTTACTTTTTAATGCGATGACAATGAAGAGATCGACAACTACGCACAGTTAAATCTAGGAGAGAAGACTGAGCGCTGGGCAAATGGCAGGCAGCCTCCACTGAACCGCAGGCCACAACCTGGGGCCGGCAATGAGGTAGAGGGACCTCCTCGGGCCAGGAGGCTGGCTGCAGGACCCTCTGCCGGGTATGCAGGGTCGCCAGCCGTCCCTGGCTGCAGACCACAGCTACCGCTCTGGAGTGCCGGTGCCCAACCTGGATCTGTTGAGGGTCACAGTGCCAGGATCACTTCGCACGGTGGAGGGGACTCGCGCTTCTAGCCCATGGACCAATCACAGAGCAAGTCGTGACGATTGACAGGTAATGTGGACCAACCACGAGTGTCTATGGGTGGGACTCGGAGAGCCCAAACCCCGGAGCCCGCGCGAACGGTTACTAGGGACGCACTGGGCGCCCCCTACGGCGCCCCAGAAGAGTCAGAAAACATGGGCGTCTCCGCCCCCTTGCCCTGTGAGGGTTGTTTCCTCTTGCCAAGGGATAGACAGTGACAGGCGCTTAGCTCAACGGGCGAGAAGCAGTGCCCGTCGTGGCCTGAGAGCGACCAGCGAGCGCCCTGGAGCAAGCCTGCTCTGAAAGCCGCCCTTCTCACGGGTAAATCCGCGCGGGGGGGGGGGGGTGAACGCTCTGGCCGCCAGGCGGCCCATCGTGCACACACAGCAGCGAGATTTCCGAGGTCGGAGATGTGGGTACAACTGACTGTATCTGTAACGCGTGGAGAGATCGCCAGGCTGCAACCTCTCCACGACTCCGCGGCCAGGAAGGGACAGACGCGAACCCGCGAGCCCAGAGCTTCTCCCATACTGCCAGACGCTGCCAGTCCTTGAAACACCTGCGGGGGCGGGGCGGGGCGGGGCCAGGCGGGGCCGGGCCTCTTAGGGAACTACGACTTCCGTGAGGCGCTGCTTCTGCACAGGCGCGTCGGCCCCCTCTGAGCCGGGCTCCATTGGCTGACTGACTCAGAGCCGGGAGCTCCGATTGGCTAAGGGTCCTGAGGCGACAGATTCCGGAAAGGGAAAGAGCAGCCAATATGGCGGCGGAGCGCGGCGCGGGGCAGCAACAGTCGCAGGAGATGATGGAGGGTAAGCGGCCCCTGCGGGTGTCCAGAAACGGCGAATGGGGGAAGCGGGCGCGCACGGCCCTTTGCCCAGGAGGACCTCAGTGTCCTGCCTCCGATCACGGCGGCCCAGCCCTGACAGCTGCCCTCTGGGCTCGGCGGAGCGGGGGCGGTTCGGACCCGTGGACCTCGCCCAGTGGGCGGCAGCAACTAGGCGACTGGGGAGGGGAGGACGCTGCTGGAGCCAGCCGGGGGCGGGGGCCGACGGTCTCTTGGCGCTGCTGGAGCCTAGCCTAGAACGCCGGAGATTGACAGATAGGGAGCGGGCGACCTTGTGTCAACTCGCGGGGAAACTGAGGCTCCTGGCGCAGAGACCTGCAGAGTCTGCTGCTTATTCACGTGGCGGGGGCAGAGAAGGGTCCGCTGTGGAAAGCGAATGGGTTGTGGCGCAGGGATGACCAGGAGCTCTGGGGATCGAGTTATACAAGGCGGTGCCTGATTGCCAGGTTATAGTCCCAAAAAGACTCAGTTCAACTGGCTTACTCCTCTTCCACTTGATGGAATTACTGTATTATATACTTGTATGTGTGTTTACATATACATGTATGTGTATTTGCATGTGTTTATCTACATATATGCGTATTTATTGCATGCATGTAAAGACTTGTGTACACATGCCTGTCCCCAGTGGGAGTCTGTAGTGTCTTTTGAGTCTTAAATGTCTTTGGCTCCCGCGGTTAAGTGGTATAACCCTCCAGAATAGTAGTTACTGTCTCCTGTGAAAAATTCTGGGAAGAAGGATGTGGAGCTAGGAGAGAGGGTGCAGAAGCAGTGGTTGGGTGCCATGGGGGACTGCTGGTGGCTCTGTGCTGGACTTTAATGAATCACTAGCTGTCAACCCAGTTTGGGAAAGGTGGGGGCGTGGGAGAGTGTAATCAAATATCATTGCAGATAAAGGAAACCCAGTCACAAGCAAAGGGTTTAGTGGAGAGTTTTTGAAGAGTGACAATCATATGATGAGTGGCCAGTGAGGCTTGCCAGTGGCCAGGGAAGACCCAACAGGGGTCTTCACAGGGTCCTGAACTTTGATATCCTTGCATCTTTTAAAACAAGGAAATGCCTCTTCCTATCCCCTCTTCCTCCACTCCCCAGCAAATCCTTCAGCTGTTTCCATTTCTTGATAAAGGGCAAACACAAAGCAAGCTTTTTTTCTTCTACTCCTACACATGTCATTACCAGATCTGACACTTCTACTGTTTCAGTGGCTCCAGACCTTCAAAACCACCTCTGTTCCCACTGCCAATACCTTAACTCAGACGTTGCCTCTTCTGTGGTAACTTTATTTGCCTTCTTTGCCATCCCATTATATCCAGAGCTCTGCAGATACCCTCTTACATGCTGATCTGTTGTCATGTGGTCCAGACCCTGTGTGCCCACGGGACAGAAGTGCAGGTTGCACTCCAGCTGCCCATCCTCCCTCGCCTGTGGAGTGCTCAGGCCCAGGCTAGGAACATGTGCTCCCAGAACCTCCATGACAGAAACTTGTGCCTGGTGTAACTCATTTACCAAATTGTCCTGTGTGCCAGGCACATGCTGAGTGCCCCTGTGCCTTTTCTGACTTAATCCTAACAGTTGCTTTCTGAGGTATGGACACTAGTAGTGTCCTTCTATGGATGAGAAGACTGAGGCTTGGAAAAGAAAGTTACTCACTAGAGCTGCGTCTCTAAAGGCAAGATGCGAACTCAGGAGAGCCATTGGCATTTCAGAAATATTTTTGGAAACAATAAGATTTAGCTTTAGAATCAAATCAAATTCTCTGGTGCTGGGAGAATAAATTAAACTGAGCAAAAGAGGCCCAGTGAATAGGCAAAGGAAGAATGTGGACCTCAGGTAATAAGTAACCAAGCCAGGTCAGGAAAGAAGGAAAAGACTTGGAGATTTTGGAGATGGGTTTTAGAAGGATTTATTTTATCCAAAGCTCTTTCCTGGGTGTGTTTTGCTAAGCAGAACAAGACACACAAAGCCCTGTGGAACTTCTTCCTCTCAGGGCACACCTCCTTATAGCTAAGCCATAATCAGAAGAAAAACATTTCCATGGCAGTGGATAACTCCATGTAATATGTTAGTGTCTCTAGCCCTCCAGAGAGACTTCCAAAGATGTCACCAAAAATTATGAAACAGGATCATTATCTAACAAGTTTTGTTTTGTTTCGTTTTGTTTTTGGTGCTAAAGACTGAATCCAGGGCTTCCTGCTTGCTAGACAAGCGTTGTACTACTAAGCTAAATCCCCAGCCCCTACTTAACAGTTTGCTAAAGAATTTTTACCAGCCTCCCACACATAGTACTGCCTTATTCATTAACTCAAATATTTCTTTACCAGCCTTTGGAAAACTTTATAACACTGTGTCCAGTGACCTTTGACATCAGTAACCTTCTTGTGGGGCATTGGCACCTTCTTCTTTTTCATTAAGCTCCTTCCTGCCCACAGTCTGATTTGAGTTAGTCTTGATTTCTTTCAGAACATGGGCCTGTGAACTTGGCTGGTTTTCTTGGCCAAATGGATAGTGGAGCGTGGATGAAGGTATGTGGCGGGAAGATCACTTTGTCCCCTCTGAGGTAGATGCCAGGCCAGACTGGAGAGTGGCCCAGGAGGCCCCATACCACATGGTGCCCCCTGACACCTGTGGTCACAGACCATCCCAGAGCTTTCAGAATACCTGGCAGTTCTCCACCAGCCTGCTGAGGATGGGGACAGTGTGTCACCTAAATGTCCACGCAGCCTCTGTGCTCTACCCCCCAGTTATCCCTGCCACTCTGTGCTTCAGGTGGTGCTGGGACACAGGAGACTCAGATGTTCATGTACTGAATCTGACCACCATTTCTGAGCAAAGTCTTGCTGACTCACGGCTGTGCATAGTCTGTTGTGTGTTCCTCAGAGCATCACACAAAGGAGGCGGCCTTCTTACTGACATGTGTGGGTTCAGTTGACAGGCGGGTCGAGTCTGAAGAGTCAGGCGATGAGGAGGGGAAGAAGCATATTGGTGGCATCGTGGCAGATCTCAGCGAGCAGAGCCTGAAGGATGGAGTAGAGCAGGGTAAGGAGGACCCAGAAGGTTTCGGGTGTCAAGAACCTTCACCCTGCCCAGAGGGTAGTGTTCCAGGTGGGGGCGAGGATACTGTGTCAGTCCCAGAAAGGGCCACCTTGCTCCTCAGTGGCCCTTGGGGGGCTGAGCTGTGGTAGCACAGCCCCTCATCAGGACCTCCCCGAGGACATGCTCATGGCACTTTCTAGAGGAGTCCAGTTTTGCCCAATTCCACTGAAGGCAAGTAGCACTGCTGGTCACGTTGGCACAAGTGTGTCATCTGGGCTGGAACCAGAAAACAGGTCTTCAGCTTTGCACTCAGAAGGAAAGAGCTGAAATCAACAGGACATCTGGTGGTAGTGCCTCTTTGTGCTGCTGCAGGAGGGTAATCTTAGTGTCTTCCAGCAGTCATTGCTCATCCTGCTTTGCCATTCTGTGGCCTGTAGCTCAGCTTTCCAAGTGTGTCGTTTAAGACCTGTTTATGTAGAAATAGCCAAATAGCCCCTATGGTAGTGTTTCATCTTCTACATTGATGACCCACGGCTTTTTGTTTGTTTGCTTAGAGAATCAGTTTTCAAGCCAGATGGGTACCTGTAAGCCCAGCATTCTGAGGCTGAAACAGAAGAATTATAAGTTCATAACCAGCCTTGGGGGCAAAATGTACCTGAAAAAGAATGAGAGGAATCATAGGAACACAGAGATACCTGAGAAAGATGATTAGGGGATTTGTTTGTTTGTTTTTAAACAGCAAGTTTCTGGGCCAGGGACTTAATTCAGTGGCTTAAGTGCCTGCCTGGTAAGCAGAGTTCATGAGTTTGATCTCTGGTATCCAAAAAAAAAAAAAAAAAAAAACCACCAGGTAAGATGAAGAAAAGGAAGTTTCTAAGCAGTCATACATGTTAAAATCTTATTTTTAGTTAAAAAAAATATGAATATGTAGTTTTTAACCCACTAAAAGGAAAAAAGGAAAGTTAGGCACAATGATGTATACCTTAATTCCAGCTATTCAGGAGGCTGAGGCAGGAGAATCACAACCTGGGGCATTTAATGAGACCTGATCTCAAAATTGAAAAGGCCTAGGAACGCAGCTCAGTGGTAGCGTACTTGCTAGGCAGCATAGCATGCATGAGACCTGGGGCTCAGTCCTCATGAGCACATCAGAAAGAAGAAAGTCTACAGCTTGAGAGAGACCTCTGCCTTCTGCATTTTTCAGATTTGTACACAATGTATGAATTTTTCAGATACTTGGTTTTATGCATTACCCTTATAAAAATAAGTTCATTTTAAAAAGCTAACTTTAAAAATAGCACTGTGCTTCCTATGCCAGCAAGGATGATTGGTAACTATGGCAACCAAATTTTAAAGCAAAAGCTGCAGGGATGTACCCTTCACATTAACTTGAACTTTAGAGTTGGTGTTCTGGCAGTGCCGGGGGTGGGTAAAGGCCATGGGTGCTTTCATCTCTGCCGTCCTCACAGTCAGACTTGGATTTGTGCTGAGACCTCAGGCATCTGGGGTACATTGGGGACTTTTGGAGGGGCTGGTTCAGGGTTTCCTTCCCCGCCAGGGAGCAGTGCTCTGGAGCATTGCCACACTGTGGCTGGGACAAGAGTCTCCATGCTTTCCTGAGGGTGCTGGCTGCAGAGCAGCCACAGCCCTGCGTGCCTGAGTGGCTAGGCTTTGTTCTCTAGATGCCTCCTATTGGAGGTTCTCAGAGCACTTGCATTCCTGATGTATGAGAAACTGGACTGGCTCTTGCCTGTACTTACTTTATCTTTTTGTGGGGAGAGGGCATCTTTTTGAGACAGAGTGTTGCTGTACAGTTCAGGCTGGCCTTGAACTCACTTTTTATTTTTAGTCCAGGCTGGCCTCAAACACAGCCTCTCAGTGCTGGGATTATAGGCATGCACCACCATACCCGCCCCATTTTATCTTTAAACAAAACAAATTCAAACATATTTACTGTTACCCACTACTTATTTTCCCTAAGTTATTTTTAAAATGTGATCATGGTGCATTTGGAAGGGTATTCTGGGTCAGTAACTTTGCTCTGGGTTACGCTGGCATCTCAGGAAGGGGACGGGCCAGCCTTGCTGAGTGGACTGCAGCTAGCAGCTGTCTGTCTCCCTTCCTTCTGGTGAACTGGGCTCAGGTGAGATGAGAGGGAGGCTCTGCCAGTGGGTGCCACACTCAGCCCCTCCACCACTTGGAGGAAGCTGCTCTTGGTGGCGAGGCCACCCACTCGCAGGCTGAAACTAGTTCACCAGTCTTCCAGTTGCTTAAATGTGCTTAAATTATTCATCAAGGCTCTTTGATCTTATCTGTTGAGCTGTGCTTCATTTTATTTTGCTTTTGCAGAGAAAAACATTTGTAGATGCTGCACCTCTTTCCAAGCAGTGAGAGGCCCATCCTAGCACGTGTGCTATTCTATGCCTAGCACCATCTGCATGCCTTGGCCTGATTTATCACCTTGGACAAGGTGGGGAAGGATGAGGAGGGCAGGCAGCAGCCCCAAAGTGCCCTTTCCAGCAGGGACTGAGCTTACCATGTGGTGGCAGCCTCCTTGCTGCCAGCAGTGTCAAGCTGTACCTCCCTGTGCAGCTCAGAGGCATGGATGGATGTGTAGAAACCTTTGCCCATTACTGATTCAGGAAGCTCGGGGTGCTAAAAGCACCACCCTGGTCGAGTCATGCTGGGTGGGCGCTGTCAGCCAAACATCTCAAACCTGTGTCTGCTACCTTCTGCCAAGAGTTTGAATGAGCTTTCTTTTGCATCCTTTTTTCAGAGGAACATGAGCTGGCAGTGGACATGGAAACCATTTGCCTGGACCGGGATGCAGAGGTAATGTCACCTGCTTTGCCCAGCCTCAGGGTTCATCACCAGATTGTCTTTTATGAAGGTGACAGATTATTGAGTTCACTAGAGAGGTTGTCCAAGCGTCCTTTGGTTGGGTCTGCTTGCTCTTTTCAATCTCAGTGATTGAAATTCCATGGGGACTGGAAGGCAAGTGCAGTACGTTTGGCTCACAGATCACATGCATGGGTCCATATCATGGTGTGTGTCCTGGGCCCTCCCATTTCCAGCCCTAAAGAATTACATGTACGTAGCAAGTGGCTGGGGGCTGGACAGTGCCTTGCTGGGATCCTCTCCTGAGCCTACAGTGAGCACTGCTGGTCACAGAACAGTGCCTGTTGGTGGAGCTGGGTATACTTTTGTGCTCAGGGAGTGGAAGGCGAGGAGAAGCTGTTAAAACCATTTATACAAAAAGCCAAAGTGCTCCTGCCAGCTCTCTCTGCGACACTGGCACTTCTTAGTGTCAAGTGGCTTGGTTGAACCACGTGCCCTTTGCTTCTCCCACTCCACCGCTGTAGTCCTCTGTGACACTTGCTCCAGGGAAGGACCCTTAGCATTTGTCTCCTGTGGTTTTCAGGATGTGGATCTGAATCACTATCGCATTGGGAAAATCGAAGGCTTTGAGGTGCTGAAGAAAGTGAAGGTGAGAGGGCCTCTGTGCTTGCACACAAGGTAACTTAGGGACTGTGCACAGCCCTTGTCCTCGTCCTGTATGAGGCACTGGTCTGTGGAGACCCTGCTGTGCATCTCTGTCTGTCTGGGATGTGGTGGGAGCTCGGCAGCCTCAGGGCTGAGCACCAGGCTGGCGCTCAGCTGGATATGTAGTGCCGGCCTCTGCAGCTGGCTCTGCATGGAGTCCACAGCGGTTCTTGAGTTCTGCCAGGACATGGCACCCTCCAGCTCTGCCCAGCTGCTCCCCATCCTCGCAGGTCCTCCCTGAGGGCCTCTGCCTATCCTCGAGTGGGACAGGGCAACTCCAGCTGTGTGTGCCTTTGCCCCTGGCTGACTCTAAAAGGCTAGTGCATTCTAGGAAACTGGTTGAATGAAAACATCCTCCCTATGGGAAGACCAGCCCTATGCCGTCCGCAGTCCATGCCAACAATCTTTTTCCTGTCCCCAGACTCTCTGCCTCCGTCAGAACTTAATTAAGTGCATCGAGAACCTAGAGGAACTGCAAAGCCTCCGAGAGCTGGATCTCTACGATAACCAGATAAAAAAGATCGAGAACCTGGAGGCACTAACTGAGTTGGAGTGAGTGGGGAGACCAGAGCAGACAACTGGGTGGTGGGTGGCCAGACTCCCCGAAGCCCCCTCTTCTGGCTTGGGCCATCCTGAAGTCCACCCTGTTGCAGGATCTTGTGCCATGCCAGGTTCTCAGAGGTGGCATATTCATGGCAACTTCCTGCATGCCCTCTGGTTGCTGGACAGTCCATAAAGGCTGAAGCAGGGCTTCCAGCTAGGTTCTATCACCTTACAGCCCCACTTGTATATTTGCTAGGTGGTAGCAAAATCAGCAAGAAGCCAGATGTGGTGACAAACTCCTGTAATCCCAGCTACTTAGAAGGCTGAGGCAAAAACATTGCAAGTTCAGGTCATGAGCAGTTTAAGCAGCCCTTATTGTAAGACAAAATTTAAAAATTTCCTAGGTCTGAGAGCAGGTATGGTGGTGCATCCACATAATCTCTGCTCTGGAACACTGAGGCAGGAGAACCATAAATTCAAGTCTAGTGTGGACAGCTTACTGATTTAGTGAGAACCTGTCTCAAAATACAAAATAAGAAGAGCTGGGCATGTGGCTCAAAAAAAAAAAAAAAAAAACGCTGGGGATGTACGAGTGCTAGGATGCTTATCCAGTGTATGTGAGACCCTGTGTTTAATCCCCACACTACCAAAGAAGAATAGATAATTTGGATTAATGTTCCTCTTTTCTTGATTTTTTTTTCCCCCTTGGGCACTGTAGTGGGATGACCCCAAGGCCTTACACATGCTGGGCAAATGCTCCACACTGAGCAACAGCTTGAAGTTGCCCAGGGTGGCCTTGAATCTGCAGTAGCTGGATTCCAGACATGTGCTACCACGGTCAGCTGTTGTGTTGTTAATTCAGTATGTCTTGTGCCTCCTGTGCCCACTCGTGGTTCGAGGTCCTACCATAGACACAGGCATGAAAGAAACCTGGTTTCTGTCCCCAAATACAGTCCTAGGAGCCTGCAATCTACCCTGGGACTCTCCAGGTTCCCCACAGTGTCAGTTCGTCTGACAGCATGGGTGTGAGCCAGCAGGGTCAGGGAATGGTCAGATACCACACAGTGACCATGGCTACTAAGACGGGAGACTGCCTTTACAATTCATGTCCATTTTTTTTTTAAATGTTTTGCTTGTTCTAGGATTCTAGATATTTCTTTTAATCTGCTGAGAAACATTGAAGGGATTGACAAATTGACTCAGCTGAAAAAACTCTTCTTGGTCAACAATAAAATCAGTAAAATTGAGAACTTAAGTAACTTACATCAACTGCAGATGCTGGAGCTGGGATCCAACCGCATCCGGGTAGGTGTGATTGGCAGCCTTGTGCCTGGCTGGTTTGTCTTGTGATGCCGTGGTATTTTGGGAACAAGGAAATAATTTTTAAGAAAAAAATGTTACTCAGAAGTTAGTGTCAAGAATGTGTACCCTGTAGCAAAGTCTTCCCTGTGCACCATGCATAGATTTCTGTTGCTCCCCATCCAAGTCCTGCCTCAGCCTCCAGCTGTCCTTAGCTATTCTCTGCTGCGATGAGCCCACCAGCCCGGACCCTGCACCTCAAGCTTCCAGAGAAGTGAGATTGAGTCCATCGTGATTGACTCATGACCACTGCACAGTTGCTGGCATCTGCTGGAGAGGTCCCAGAAGGCCTGTCACTGGCTGGGCCTGCCAGACAAGATCTGAAGGAGGTCCTCCAGGGCAGCATGAGGGCTGTCAGCCAGAAGACCCTGTGCATCCACAGCTGACCTCTACAGTATGCTCACGCTGCTGCTGCTGCTGCTACACTCCTCAGCCTTGTTTAGCAGCTGGGGCAGGGATTTCTGAGCACATCACACCCTCCATTTGGGGTCAGGAAGCGTAGCACGCTGAGCCAACCTGCTGGGTCCTGCAGAGTCTCTGGAAGTTCACAGATGGAGGTCTCATTGACTAACAGTGAAGCAACACAGTCCCAGCTGGAGAGGGAGCCCAACGCCAGCCTCGCCAAGTTTCTCACTGCAGAACATCTCAGGAGGCTGTCACACCCAAGCACAGCTGTGGCTCTGAAGGGTGCCCTGTCCTGTCACCATGTATGGGATGGCTACACTCCCTTCACTGGCTGACCCACTGCTTGTGAGCATCCTGGTCAGTGGTTTTGTCTGTGAAGCATCAGCTTGCTCCAAGAGCAGGAGGGAAACTCGGGCAAGTCAACACACCGTGACTGACTGCCCTGGGGAAGGCACTGACAAGGCCATGTAGAGCCCCCACGATGGCCACGCAGAGAGGCCATAGGGCGAGGGCCCCGGCCCAGGGTCCTCCAGCTTCCAGGTCATACGGCCCTGACAGGGCTCCTAACGTCCCACTCTACAGAGGCCTCGGCCATGGGGAGTGCCCAGCTTTACATACTGTGCCTGGTGACGTGGACGGACATGCCACCTCAGTAAGGGATGTGGGAAACCTGCTAGTCTAGGGGTTTTTAAACAGGTTTCCTAGAACTCCAGAGCCTAGAAAACTAGAAGTCTGGGTAGCTGAGCTTTAGGCCCTCTACCCACTTCCTGTCTTCCATGCTGTACTTCCAGGTGGGAGGACAGTGCAAACGCCTGGAGCAGGTCACGAAGTTGCCTAGAATCCCAGAGGTCAAATGCAGACAGCTCCTGGTCCAGCATCCTCCCTATACCTGGCTCAGCCACTGACCACCATCCTGATGGCTCTTCCGTCCTTTTCACAGGCAATTGAAAATATCGACACTTTAACCAATCTTCAGAGTTTGTTTCTGGGGAAAAACAAAATTACTAAGCTTCAGAATTTGGATGCCCTCACCAACCTGACTGTTCTCAGTATGCAGGTATTGACCTCAGCCCCTGCCCCAAAGCCACCATGCCTAAGCACAGTCCCATCCTACACAGGGTCCCCGAGGCCCTGTTGTCCCACTGTCAGTGAGTGGTAGAAACATCAGCATCCACACATTATGCACAACCAGAATTCCATTCTTTTCTGTACAGTTGTTTATAACTCTGTCTTTTAAAATTTCACGTTTGGGGTCGTGTTTGTTCTCCCAGTAAGGTGAGTCGCCTGACCCCATCAGCCATGGTGCACAGGCACTGGCTGCTTGAGTTCAGTGTTCCCCTCTAATGTAGGACAGAGACCTCTGAGGGGACACGTGGCAGTGCCCTGGGGACAGCCTGGCGTGGCGAGTCCCGCAGCCACCCATAGGGCCGTGGACACAGGAAGTCCCTTTCACCCTCTGCGAATCTAGTATTTCACAGACTGATTTGAGAAAGAAGTTATTAAGGTCTAATTTAAGATGCAGTATATCCCACAGAAATGAAAATTTATTTCAAAATATTCAGTAATTTTGACATTTTAGAATTATTAAATTAAGCCAACCATGGTGTTACATGCCTGTTATCCCAGCCCTCAGGAGGCTGACCATGAGTTTAAGCCTAGGCCAGGCTGCATAGTTCAAGGCCAGCCTGAACTGCATAGCAGGACCCTGTCTTGTAGAAACAAAAGCAGTACATGGATGATTGTATTAAAGCAAACTTGGAAGTTCGATCCCCTTGTTTGCACATGCCCTGCTCTGGTAGATTCTAGACGAAAGCCCTGTTTTTGGGCTCCTTGGGGTAGTCAGAAGCCCCAACTCTCGAGTGCCATCTGTTCCTCCCTCTCTGTGGCCCTGACACATGGCTCCCCTCTTGCAGAGCAACCGGCTGACGAAGATCGAGGGTCTACAGAGCCTGGTGAACCTGCGGGAGCTCTACCTCAGCCACAATGGCATCGAGGTCATTGAGGGCCTGGAAAACAATGTAAGACTGCAGGGTGGTGAGGGTGCCAGAACTCCCCCGGCTGGCCGTAGGTGGACCCCTACGCGAGCAGTATCTCAGGGCAGTGTGGGGTGTGTGTAGGCACAAGCCATGCTGCATGGCTGCTCCCTGAGCAGGGTGCCCTGCTTACCCGTCATGTACTTTGGGCCTTCAAGAAGGTTTGGGAAACCCTGCCTATCCCACACGACAGTAGCTGGCCTTTCAGCCATCCCCAGCTTCTAGCCATGAACTTCCTACTCTGCCCCCTTTATTGGAGCTTGAGGCCTCATCTGCCTCATCACTCCCTGGCCTAGTGCTCCAGTGGGGTCCAGAGCTCCTTCCCCACTGCAGCCTCTACTTCGGCCTGCTCTTACTCAGTGTAGGGTTTAAGACAAATAAAGTACTTTTTCTCATTCGGTTTTACTGGGGGATTTTTGTTTTTGGTTTTGGTTTTTTGGTTTTTGTCTGTTTTGTTTGATTGCCAACAAAGGTAACCAGATGGGTCACTTTTTGTCACCATGGACAAAGCATTTCTATCTCGATTCAGGCTCCTTCACCCTTTATGCCTCAGCCCTGGGGCTGGGTTGCCATTAGTGATACCGCTCTGGAAGAGGAGCCATAATCTGAATTTCATTTTACCAACATCTATGGAAGACTGAGGAAGGTTAGATTTGCATGTGGGAAGTTTGGTCATTTTGTCCACCATATGGTGCGGCGTGGACTGCAACCCTGGCAGCTGTGGCTGGAGTAGGGTGCCGCATTGCAGCAATGGTGGGACTGGTGGGGGTGCACAGGCAGCTCCTCCCCAGGAGCTCAACACTCCTGAAGGCAGCACCCCCACAGTGGGGTTCAGCATGCAGAGAAGGCCCCCAGGCAAAAGAGAGAAACCTCAGGGCAGAGTCTGCTGGTTGCTGCTACACTACTATAGTGGGCACACACCAGGTCCTTCCTGGGCCTCTGAAACAAAACAGAAAACAAAGCATTGCATTAGATGTCATCGTAATACTCGAGTGTGACAGTGCTTCCTCTGGAGTTTCTCCTACCAGGAATCAAGTGTGTACTTCACTGTCTTCCAAGTGTCATTTCTTGACTGAAAACGTATTTTTGTGGTGAGAGGAAGAAGTGATATCCCCACATGGCAGGTGCACTCCCCCAGGTCCTGTGACATGTGACCCACATCCAACTATCTCTGCCCATGTCCCTTCCTGTGGGTGCAGAACACGAACTGGCCCAACTGTGTGCTGCTTGGTGGTATAGGATGCCACTCCTGCCCTGTTTCTTTTCATGTTTTTAAGTAGTTAACTGGTTTGCCTTTAGATGAGCTTTCATACAGGTCTAACTCCTAAAGACTGTAGAGGGAGTGTGAGCGCTAAACTTAGAGGTCAGGCTCCAGGCCTGATCGCCAGTGCTGCCCTCAGCACATGCCCACTGCTGTACCTTCGCCTTGCACCTCCCCAGTCTCAGATCTGCCTGTGTTCAGAGCACACCTGCCTTACCTACTTCCAGCCTGTATGGGGTGGGACAGGGGAACAATCATAGTCGGGCAGAGTGCTGCGAAGTAGTCTGTCCCAGCCCTGCTGTCACATGCTGTTTTTGGGCTCCCCATGGTCCCTGCTCTGCAGTTTTCAAGCTCTTTTGGCACTGAGGCCCTTCAACTGCTGGCACCTGGTAGCATTGCTCATGTGAGCTGAGGTGGCAGGCAGTGAGGGGGTGGCTTGAAGGACCTGGCTCAGCAGTGTGCCTGTGCCCAGCTCCACGGGACACATCATGGCGATCTAGCTTGCCCAGTCTGGCGGCCCTCACACTTGTAGCCATCTGTGTCCTAGTCAGTGCCCACAGCACCTGTGCCCTGTGCTGGGTACAGTGTGGGTGTGGAGGCTATTGCCATAGAGCGCTTGAATCTTGGAGCCATTGGCTGGGCATTGTGCATGTCTGTGGGTTTCATTTTTACTTCTCTGGGATTTTGTAAACTTCCCCTTAAAACTGGGGAAGACTTGAAATGGGAATGCCTGGAATGCAGGAGAAAATAGAAAACAGGGACCCTCAGAAGTGTAGAGTGCATTGGCTGGGGGATTCCTTTCGAGTTTATAAAACCTTGCTGATGATTAGTTACACAGGGCAAGCAATGGGAGCTTTGGCAGATGTAATTTCCTTGGCAGATGAAATTATCCGTGTTAAATCTCGAAACTGTAAACCTTGAAGCAACTCCCAGGCTTCCTGTCTGAAGTGTGTTGGAGGCATCTGACCTGTATCTTTGTAGGAAAAGATCATAAAGTTATATGTCCTGTTAGGCATGCACTGTCCCCACAGCAGGCACTCGACCTGCCCAGGACATGGCCTTCAGTGACCAGCCATTGTCCCTCATGCCCATCACTGTGGTCCCTGTGGAGCTCACTGTAGCCTTTCCCCAGCACCCTGTCCTCCTAGATTCACTCCTGTGGACTCAGCCCAGACTGAGGCCTCTGTCAGGGTGGCTCAGGACTAGGCACCACCTCTCTTCCCTCCTCTGCCTAAGCCCCGGGCTCCTCAGCCCAAATGAGGAGAGGAACCTCACCTAGATGGTGACACAGTGCCATCATGTATCTCCTTGTGGTAAGTACTTAGTGCAGTTCCCACACTTATAACACTGGGAACAGAGGCTGGCTTGTCCTGCAGCCCTGGGCTCAAGCACTTCATACTGCGTGGTAACGTGATCATGGGTAAACAGTGGTAATCCAGGAGAATTCTTATTTTCTTCTTCTAGAACAAACTCACGATGTTGGACATTGCATCAAATAGAATAAAAAAGATCGAAAATATCAGCCATCTAACAGAGCTGCAGGAGTTCTGGGTAAGTTCCATCCCTTGGAATCAGTGGTGCTTTAGCTAAAGGGGTCCTGTTGACACGAGGCCCCCAATCCTGTGAGCAATGGTGCAACAGGAGAAGCATATGAGGTTTGAGGTGTTTGGGGTACCTGTGTGTTCCTGTGCCCTTGCTCCTCTGTACAAGCCACACAGCAGGATCTGCAACCCTGGGTACTGGGTCAGGACTGCAGTCGGCACACCACAGCCCAGAACTGGGGTATGCACTGGGACAGATTCCACAGGAACATGGGGAATGCCCTGCACTGTCTCCTTAGACCTAGAAAGACTCTGGGTGCTTTCCGTAGGCACAGCTATCTGGGAACCTGCCTCATGCTCATCTCCAGGGTTGTAACATGGCTCTGAGCGTAGAACCACAGAGCCAGTGGAACGAGAGTCAGGGCCTGAGAAGAGGCCTTTGCAGTGGGGTGTAGCTCAGTGGTACACAGAAAGCCCACCCAAGGAGGGGAGGCCTTTGCAGCTGCTGCTAGGGGTGCAGAACAACTGCAGGCTCGAAGTCCTCAGTGCTCAGAATCTACTGAGAGTTCTCATTTCCCCCAGCACAGGTGCAGTGCGGGTTACGCACCTGGTGCCTAATGACATGCACACTGAACATTGTCCCCGGGCTCACGTGACTGATGTGAGAGTCATGCTAAGTCCATGCTCATCCCAGCTTCCCTGGAACATAGGCAGCCTGCTCTGCACTAGGCATACTGGTTAGAGGCTCCTGTCAGGGGTCTGAGTAGAACTGGAATAGGGACTGGTGGCAGAGGTGCACAGGTTGGGGGGACCAGCGCTGTGAGTCAGGAGGGAGGGGTGGCCGCCTGCCAGGAGTGACACTGAAGAGCCAGGCGCAGGCAAGGGGAGTGCACAGAGAGGGCAGAGGAAGAGTCGTGTGAATGCTCACGTAAAGCAGCCTGAGAACAAATTCAGCTCACTGTTAACAGTGTTACTCATTGGTTTTCATAGATACCATCCCACTTGGTATTTCCCTGCCACCTGAAGAATATTAATGGTTTTTGTTATGCAGTATACTGTAAACCAGTTCCTCAGCTCTGAGCTGCCTAAAAAAACATTTCCATTTCCCTTTATTTTTGAAGGATGCCATGATGGATATGCAATCCGGTGTGGGTAGCTGTTTAAAGCATTTTGGCAGTCTTTCTCCATTGTCCTCTGGTTTGCATGTTTGTTGAGAAGTCTGCAGTCATTCTTATATAACTCTGGCGGCTGGCCTTGAGCTCACTTTGTAACCCAGGCTGGTGTCAAACTCACACTGATCCTCCTGCCTCACCCTCCTGAGTGCTGGGGTTACAGGTGTGTGCCACCACACCCAGCTTTTTAATTTTATTTTTATAAAATAAAATACGGCTGCTTTTTAATTTTATTTTTATTTTATTTTATTTATTTATTTTTGGTACCAGGAATCTCTGCGACCTTGCACTTGCCAGGCAGGTGCTTGTGCCACTGAGCTATATTCCCAGCCTTTAAATATTCTTTTTAATAAACTTTGATTTGGTTTGGTTTTTGAAACTTGAATAGAATATGCCACAATGTGGTTTGTCTTCTTTCATGTCGAACGTTCACTGAGTTCTTTGGGTCTGTGCACTTACAGTTTTAAGCAGACACGGAAAACGTGTGGGAATTACTTCCCTGAACTTCTTCCTGCCCCTCCCACCCCAGCCTGTTCCCCTTCTCATTCCCCCAGTCCCTGTCTCAGTGGTCTCCTGCCTGGCACATTTGTGTCTGTCCCTTTCTTCCCCAGGAGGTCAGTACGAGCACTGCCCCATGCTACCCCATCCTTGTCCCTGTCCTCAGCTGTGATAGTGCCCTTCAATAAGTTGGGCTGGCTGTCCTCCCACCCATCTCGAGTCCTCCTGTCAGGTCCACCTGCTCAGCCACCAGGGGGCCTCCCTGCCATCTTCCAGGGCTGTGACTGTCACTTCACCAGTGGAGACATTCAGATCCAGGGTCCTGCTGTCTCTTTCTTACTCCCGCTTCTCAGCAGTCAGGTTTGATTGCTCTGTGCTTGAACTCCTGCCCTCACTTTGACTCAGGGAGACAGAGACAGAGCCTGGGTAGATCGATGGTATCCCTGAGTGATAGGTTGGCTGATTGATAGATGAGAGGCTGGTAATAGGTGATGGCCGTAGATGATAACAGATTGGTTGGTTGTTAGAGGATAGATGGATATTTGGATGAATCGATGGGTGGGAGATACGTGATGGATCAATGGGTGGGAGATATGTGATGGATGGATGGACAAATGGTAGACAAGTGATGGATGGTGGATAGATGTGGGTGCTGGCTGTAGCTAGGTGAGATTGGCTGATGATAGGCATGTGGCTAAGAGCTGAGTGGCTGCCACCCATGTGCCACAGTCCTCCCCAGCCCAGCAATCCTGTCACATTGGTGTCACCTGTGCTCTGGGCTGTTACTACAGTAGCTTATCCCAGCACAGGATCTGCATGTGCCGACTGGATAATGTGGCCCATGTCCTTCTGGGTTGCCTGGGCTGTGAGCCTGCCTCTCTAACCCTGCACCCCCTTGCTGGGAGGACAGACCTGTACAGGTGCCAAACACCTGTAATCCCTGCACCCTTCAAGGCTGAGGCAGTAGGATCACAGGTTCCAGCCTACGCTGGCCAAATTGATAAGACCCGTCTCAAAAATAGAAATGGGTTTGGGATGTAGCGGTGCAAAGGCCCTGGGTTCAGCCCCCAACACCATAAAAAACAAGATTCCACCCCTTCACAGTCCTGTGTCCCCACACTGGGTGTCACTGCATGAAGAAGACCCAGAAGTGGAGTGTCCCCAGGAACCACTGGGGCAGCTGTGACCTGTGTCAGTCAAGGCACAGTCCTGGCCTCACAGCAGCACTGAGCCGGTTTGGAGGAGGACATGGGTCCCTGTGCTTGGAGGGAGGCCTGGCCCGGCCCAGTATGACAGTTCTGTGCCCGCTGCCCCCACATTCACACTGCCAAGAAGCTGGGCATCCAGAACAGGAGACTCACAATGACCTGCACCTTGGGGTCAGGTCCCGGCAGAGCACACAGGGTCAAAGCCACCCTCTCACGGCTCCCTGTGTCCCCAGATGAACGACAACCTCCTGGAGAGCTGGAGCGACTTGGATGAGCTGAAGGGTGCCCGCAGCCTGGAGACCGTGTACCTGGAACACAACCCCCTGCAGCGGGACCCACAGTACCGGCGCAAGGTCATGCTGGCACTGCCATCCGTGCGGCAAATCGATGCCACCTTCGTCAGGTTCTGAGTCCCAAGAACTTCCTGGCCACCATTTTTTAATCTACCTGTTGCTCCTGACATCGTTACTCAGCAGTCACAGCTCCACGGCAATAAAAGGCACTGATGGTAGCTTGTGTGTGTGATGCCGTTGCAGCTTGCATGGGATCCCTGACAAGTGCCATGGGGGAACGTGCTTCCCCCACTGGCTGTCCCTGATCTAAGTGAAGTCATGGCCCCAACATTAGTATCACGGCATCCAGGTGTGCTTCAGGGGCTGTGTGGGGTGGGGGGTCCACAGGTCCTGGGGTGCAGGTGCGAGCGGCTCTTCAGCTGCTGATCATGCAAAAGTGATAAACACCAAAAAAAGTACAGGTAGGGGCTGGGATTTAGCTCAGCAGCAGCATAAGTGCCCGCTTGGCAAGTGTGAGGTTGTGAGTTTGATCCCTGGTAACAACAAACAAAAAAAAAGTGTAGGCATTAAAAACAGAAACCTGGGGTGAGGGTCAGTGGGGCTGCACAGCTCCCAGTCCAGTGTGGAGAATCCGCCCCACCCTGCCGCCCTGAGCATGAGCAGCAGAGGCCGCATACCAGGCCCTGCTGTGGCTCCAGCCTTCCTGGCTCCCCCGCAGCATGCGATAGGGCTGCAGCCAGTGCATGGCCTGTGCTCTGAAGAGAGCAAAGCTCAGGCTGGTGCCTACGAGATCCCGGGGGCTGCGTTCAGCACAGGAGCCATGGGCGTCTCCAGGGCCTTGAATCTTCCCAGGTTGCATGGCCACCAAAGTCTCATCTGCTTCCAGAAGTCCAGAGCTCCACCGACAGACACGGGGCCTTGGCAACTTCAGGTCAGACTTGAAGCTGTTAAAACCCAGCCAGTGTCAGCATCTTGTTTGCCCCCTGCATTGCAGGCATTTGAGGGGCTGCCTGTCTGTCACAAGAGGCGCCATGCACCACCAGGTGCCCACTGAGTCGCTGGGCAGATATATGGGGTTTGCACTGACTCTGAGGCCACTGTCACAGGCCAGAGATTAAACTTCCATGCCTGCTTCCAACGCTGTCCAAACAGACAGACCTGGAACGGCAGGGCAGGCTGCACCCAGCCCTGCCCACAGGCACATAGCTTGGTCTGGAGATGGAGGAAGAGGGTCCTTAACACATGGGACTGACCCAGGTGCCCTTGCAGAGGTCGGCGAGACAGTAGGGCACAGAGAATGGCCACAGGAGCACCACACAGCCCCTGGTGGTCAGAACAGTGGCAGCAGAGGAACTCTGGCCTATGAACAGGACAGGCCAAGTGGGAGGCTGGACAGGTGTGTCTGTGAGCCCCATCACCCTGCAGGCCAAGGCAAGAGCATCTCCTGAGCCCAGGAGTTCCTAGAAACTGGCTAGGGTGCAGCAGGGAAGAGAGCTCCACAGTCTCTGCCCTGGTGACCTCAGGTGCGTGGCAGGCCCAGCATGAACCATGGTTGCGCTCATGCCAAGTTAGAAGCCACTTGAGCTCTGGGACATGGGGCATTGGTCGGCACCAGGGCCAGTGAGGATGGCTGGCACAGCCCTGACGTGCCATCTCCTGAAGATCTGAGCAGGCGAAACTTGTGCTCTGACTCCACTTACATCATGCCGGCATTCTGACCAAAATAGAAAAAAATCTTTCAGTAATTTAGAATAAAGAAACACAGAGCAGATAATTAGAAGACACAAAACAGGTGTTAAATGAAAAGATACAGAAATCAGCAACAGTTTCTAACCAATGAAAATTCTTCCCGTAGTTCAAACTTAGTCTAGCAAGTTTGTCAGATGAAAGATAAATTTAAGAATGAGAAGAGAGATACAAATAACCATAGAAATAATTGAGCACTTTTTAAAAAAATACAGAAAAATCTAAAATTTAAATGGAATGGAAAGTTATTCTAAGAAAAATCTTTAGTTGCATTAAAATTCTGAAAAGACTACTCATTGAGGAAGAATTTAAAAAAGACATCAGAATGATTCCCTCAAAGAGGTCTGGATCCCAGAATCAGTTGATTTATACCACTTAAGAAATGGATGAAACTGTCCCTATTCATGTTACAAATTAGAGAAAAGCCCTTTTAAAAATCTTGACGAAAACAATAAAAAATAAAAATAAAGTAAAACATCTTTTAGGACTATAAATTCAAAAATCTTAAATGAAAGACTAAAGGTGACTGCTTCTTGACCAGGAAGCTTTTATCTCAGAAGTCCAAGGATGGCTTAAGAGGAAATGAGGTGAAGCTAGGTGTAGTACACTCCTGTAATCCCAGCACTTGGGAGGCTGAGGCAAGTGGATCACTGCAAGTTTGAGACCAGCCTGGGCTACAAAGTGAGCCCAAGGCCAGCCTGAACTGCATCTCAAAAAGACAAGGAGAGGAAGTAGTAGTAGTAGAAACAGTACTAGTAGTGAGGTGGACTGGGGATTTAGCTTAGTGGCATAATTACCTGCCTGGCAAGTGTGAGGTCGAGTTTGATCAATCCTTGATACCCAAAAAAAAGGAAATAAGGTAGGTTCATAATCATCATTTAATGAAGTAAAGTTTAAAACTCTGGGCTAAAATAAAAATGAAAAAAAATAAATTCTTAAATCCTTGGGCTGGCCAGGGATATAGCTCAGTGGCACAAGTGCCTGTCTGGCAAACACAAGGTCTTCAGTTTGATTCCCAGTACAAAAACAAAACAAAACCTTGAGCTAGCTTAACATAACCTTTAACAAGATACATATTCCTGTGGGCTGGGGATTTAGCTCAGCGGCATAAGCACCTACCTTGCAAGCAAGCGGTTGTGAGTTTGATCCCTGGTACCGATTAAAAAAAACAAAAAGTTAAAAAAAGAGATACATATTCCTGGCTTTTGTAAATTACTAATTTCTTCCTCAGTAAAATGTATGCCAACATCAGACTGTATGGCTTACCAGGAAGATTAAATACACAAGAGTAGCGATTTTTTTTTTTTTAATGTGGATTGGGACAGCAAGCCTGAAGGATCTGCCCAGCATGGCAAGGGACCTGAAGCCTGGGATGTTAAGATGTTTGAAGCCAACCTGGACCACATAGTGAGACCTTGTCTTGAAAACCGGGAGGGGAGTGTGCTCAGTGGGCTCGATCCCCAGTAGTGCCAAGAAAATATCCAGGCTCTGATGTATGGGACTTGCTACCTGAATGCAGCAGGCTTCCCGGCTGGGATGAGTGTAAAATGTGTCACCTGGTAGTCACGTGGGCAGAGAGAGGAAGGTGGGAAAATGGAGACCCTCCTCTCCTGGAAGCCAGCATGACCAGGGGCTGCACACTGGA